CCGTTTCGGGAGTCTGCGAACCCCATGCAAAATCTAAAACCCCCCCCCCAACCTCGTGACACCTAATCCCCAAACCAAGGAACCCTCAACCGCAAACCCCAAAGCAAAGGAACCAAAGCCTCGAAACCCCAAACCCCAAACCCCAAACCCCAAACCAAAGAACCCCAAGCCAACTGAAGACCGGTTTGTTCGGGATTCTCCTCTAGTGTCAAGGGGAGGGTTTTGGGGTTTCGGCTCCTTGCTTGGGAGGTTCGCCAACAAGAATCAGAAACCCTAAACCCTAAAGCCTAAACGTCTCTTCTGAGTTCGGCCCAAGCGGCTTCTCGTAAAGTGATGAAAACTCACCAGTGCTTCCGAGGGATTGGGAGTGGTGCCTCAGACTTTTGGGGTATACACTAGAGCACGCCACTCCCCCAAAGTCATGAAGTCCAGCCCTAGACTAAACCCTAAACCCTAAACCCTAAACCCTAAACCCTAAACCCTAAACCCTAAACCCTAAACCCTAAACCCTAAACCCTAAACCCTAAACCCTAAACCCTAACCCCTAAGCCCTAAACCCTAGACCGAAACCGTCCCCGACTCCCCCCTCGTCGCACCTTAACATAGTAGCTGTGGACAGGTCCAGCGGCAACCCAGGTGGTCTGCAAGAGTTGCCTCCGGGCCAGTAACTCGATGCTCCCTCTCCTCAAAAAAACTCAGCAGGGTTTAGGGTTTAGGGTTGAGGGTTTAGGGTTTAGGGTCAGGGTTCAGGGTTCAGGGTTCAGGGTTCAGGGTTCAGGGTTCAGGTGTCAGGGTTCAGGGTTCAGGGTTCAGTAGGGGCTAGGAGCTTGCAGAGAACTCGCCGGCATGCTATTGATGGCGGTCAGCACGACTGCTACCATGTTGTTTATCTCGTACCAATTCGGGAAGCAGTACTTGTAAGTTTGCAAAGGTTTCTTTGATTGTGGGGGTTTCCTAACACAGATCCCCAAATAGTAACATTCCCTCATTTATAATAACGACCCCAATAAGGTACCCCTTATTTCGGAACCCCCCATGTGGGTGGCCTCCAGCCACGTCTTGTTTTTCGCGACCTTAGGCGCGTCAGCGACCTGAAGAATCAGTATGAGGCAACCCTCTCGGCATTCTGAGCTGGGAGAGGAGGGGGGGGGTGGCTGCATCGGGGACGTTCTCTAAATCAGGGTCCCGCTTAAATCAACGAACAGAAATGAGCTTTACGTCCGTAGTTGAAATACTGTTCGCACCCCCCGCCCTCCTACCCCCCCGAAGTTTCATTTTCGAGATTTGTGTTTTTTTGTTATGATCAAGCCTTAACTCTCTTCAGGAGTAGGTGTGATCACGTTTTGCATTTGTTCTTACCATTAATCCCCTCTAAAATCCTTATGAAGCCACAGAAATTCAATTGTTCAGGGCACCCAAGCCTGGCCCAGCGTTGACAACTGTTGTCTTGCCGGCCTCCCTCGTGAACTGATATGTTGTCTATTTCCTCATTCTTGTTAATTCGGGATTTGGGTTTAGGGTTTGGGGTTTAGGGTTTAGGGTTTAGGGTGATTTTTCGGAATTAGCGTAGCTCGTGTCGCATATCGCAAACCCGGACATCCCAAAGCCACGACTGTTTCTCATGTCATGAATCCAGACGTCCGCAAGCGACGACAGTTTGGCATTCCGCGAAGCCAGGCATCCCACATTGACGAAAGTTTCACATTTGCCGAACCATGTCCACGAGCGCTGAGTTTTGCATTTCGCGAGCCCAGAAGGTAAAAACCCTAAACCGTAAACCCTAAACAGTTTCGACGGTGGCGCGTGCGGCCGCGCCCGTGCCTAGACGAGAGCGCGATATTCGTCCAAAATGCGAGCACGCTTCGAGAATACCCTGTCTAGGGTTTAGGGTTTAGGGTTTAGGGTTGAGGGTTGAGGGTTGAGGGTTTAGGGTTCAGGGTCTGTTCTCCTTCAGGGAGAAAAAACTCATGAAAAGACCAAACCAAGCCCTATGAGCCCCCCTCAAAGCCTTGCCAGCCTAAACCTTAAATTTTACGCCCAACCCTAAACCCTAAACCCTAAACCCTCAAACCCTCAAAACCCCTTCAAACATCCCTGGAGCTTCTTCCTACGCCCCTTCTCGGCCTGCCAGACCATGAGCCGGCAGTCGGGCGCCTCGCGGCCACTCGTTCCCGCAAGCCCAGCCCGCGACAGCTGGGGTCGGGTGAGGGGCTCAGGGGTCTGTTTAGGGTTTCGGGTTTAGGGTTTCGGGTTTCGGGTTTCGGGTTTCGGGTTTAGGGTTTAGGGTTTAGGGTTTGAGGGCTTTTGGGGTTGTGAGGCTTTGTGGTGGGCCTTGGGGGCTTAAAGTGGGTTTATGAGGGTTATGGGGGTTATAGGGCTGAAGAGGGGTTTTGGGCCTACGAAAATAGGGCCCAGTGAGATACTACTAGGTCTTCCGTTCCTGTATGACTACTCGATTCCCTCTAAACCCTAAACCCTAAACCCTAAACCCTAAACCCCAAACCCTGATCAAACTTTCAACCCCAAATCCCAAAGCTGAATCCAAACACCTCAATTCCCAGCCTTAGAGAAGTAGATGGGTGGGGGCGCAAATGGAAGCAGGGTCTGTGTATACATCAAGTGCTGCTTGTGTGAGTATATAAAGAAGTAAAAAACTACATATATATATATATATATATTACATATATATATATATGTGTGTGTGTGTGTGCGTGTACACACAGATGGTTGTGGCCAGCACTCATAATTATGGTCCCTTTGGGTACGCTGAAATTTTGGGGCTGCCTAGTAACAGGCCCCAGAAAGTGACCATAATGTAAAGAAGTGACTAAATATGTCACATACATATTTTTCATGGGTTATATGTATATACTTGTCAATCTATATCTATGTCTATATCTATATCTATATCTATAGCTATATCTATATCTACATCTATATCTATATCCATATCTATATCTATATCTATATCTATTCGTATATATAGATAATGTTTTGCGCTCTGCCACACGCTGTCTTTAGTCCGGGGAGAGAAAGGCAACGTGCCATGAAGTTTCCAGGGGCCCCCAGACTTTTCGCGGAGGCTGCTGGGTGCCCGAAGCCATCGGGGTTTAGGGTTCAGGGTTTAGGGTGTAGGGTGTAAACCCTTGGGGTTTAGGGTTCAGGGTGTAGGGTTTAGGGTGCGGGGTTTAGGGTTTAGGGTTTAGGGTTTAGGGTTTAGGGTTTAGGGCACAAGCATCCCTGAGGTGATGACACCGCGCCCGGGTCCCCACGCGCAGGCCAGTCAGAGCAAGCTGGCTGTTGTGCCAATGTTTAGAGCAGGAAGATAACCAACATTTTCCCTCACGACTGCTGTGTAAAGATTCGGAGAATTCCGGCATGCCCATTGAGTAGGCATAGGGCGGCCTAAGCAACCGTTCTTGCTTCAGCTGCAGCTTGAGCCCGTAGATATTTTGCACTCATCAAGAACGATGCCTCCGCCCGAGAGGAAGTCTATGTCTCCCCTGACCTGGAGCACAGACTGGCACCCACCGCCACGATTGCCTCCGGCGTTTATGGTGGTGTACTGTCCTCTCTCAGAGTGTCACACGCCTCCTGCTGCTGCCTTTGAAATGCCAAACGTGAACTCCCCATCCTTCCAAAAAAGCACGGTGTCCCTATCAGGGTGCTATAGTAACCTTACTATAAGGTCCCTGCAATTACATAGAGGAAGCCTTCAATTCTAAACCCTGAACCCTGAACCCTAAACTCTAAACTCTAAACCCTAAACCCTAAACCTAAACCCTAAACCCCAAACCCTAAACCCTAAACCCTAAACCCTCGAAGAGCCGCTGGAGCCAGGTTAGCCGCGGATCTCCAGGGCGAAGCAGCGAGGCAGACCCGGTCGTTGACCCGGGTTTAGGGTTTAGGGTTGAGGGTTTAGGGTTATAAGCGTATTCTAATTCTACAGCATTCTAGCAACCTTTTTCTGACACCAGAATATTGTATAGAGAATAATGGATGTTGTAATGTTACAATAATGTACGACAGTATTAAGGTTCAGGAGGTGTCTTCCACCAGAGACCAAACAAGCCCAAGCCAGCGGCGACATGCGATGAAGGGTTCAGGTTTAGGGGTGGGGGTGAAAGCATGACCAACGTGAGCAGCGGGTCATGGTGGAAGAGCGCAGCGGCCTTCAGAGTCGTTCCGTCGGACCTTCCGTGCATGCCCTTTGTCAAGCAAGTGTCTGCGATGGGTTTAGCTAAAAGCACAACTCCAGCACTCGTCTCATCTCGGCCTTATTCCGCCCCAAACCCAAACCCTCTAAACCTCACCCACCCGCCCCCTACCCCCTACCCCCTAAACCCTAAACCCTAAACCCTAAACCCTAAACCCTAAACCCTAAACCCTAAACCCTAAACCCTAAACCCTAAACCCTAAACCCTAAACCCTGAACCCTGAACCCTGAACCCTGAACCCTGAACCCTGAACCCGAAACGGCCCTAAACCCTAAACCCTTCAAGAGGCCCCTAGCTTGGGGCTTGGGGAGCTGTCAGGTGTCGGATTCGCGCCGCCAGAGCTTGGAGGACACGCTGGGAAAGGAGGGGGGAGGGGGGGTTTAGGGTTTAGGGTTTAGGATTTAGGGTTTAGGGTTAAGTTTAGAGGGTTTAGAGGTTTTAGAGGGTTTGGAGGGTTAGAGGGTTTAGAGGGTTTAGGTTGGGGTTTAGGCTTCATGGTTCAGGGGGGTGTCATGGTTGAGGCTTTCGGGCTTAGGGTGGTGGAGGGATGCACATTCTTATGGAAGCCCTCGTGCAAGAACCATGCTGAAATTTCAGCGCCTATCCCTCTGAACTTAGACTCCCCCGTCACCATGAAGAGTTTCAGGCGGTGGTTTTTGACTATCGAGGGGTTTTGGCCTCTCTGGGAAAGAGCTTGTTCGCCACGGAAGATGGCTTATGGGTTTTGATCTGAAGGGTATCAGGTATTTAGGGCTTGTTTTACTGTAGGGCTGTTTAGGGCGTATGCGGCATAGAGGGGTTTTTAGGAGAGATTCAGGGTAGAGAGGGGATTGATGGCTTGGGATTTCAGCAGGGTCTTAAAACGGTTCGGTCAAAGGTAGACGTGTTTGCAACCTGTCAACCGGAAAACCCCTCAAACCCAAAAACCTAGATTCCTGCGACGCTCTGACAGAACCCTAGACCCTAAACCCTAAACCTACATGGCCCCCAAGCCCTACCCCCTAAACCCTCACGAAGTGCGCTGAGAGTCGGAGGCCCTAAAAACCCAGGGTTCACGGTTTGGGGCTTTCAACACACAGCCCCACAGCCCCACAGCCGAAGCCCATCTTTAGACACGAAGCACAAGGCTTGAATCCCCGTGCTTTCCTGAAGGAAAGCAGCTTGGTCGAACACGAAGCCGAGCAGCAGAACCATGAGGTGGTAGCCTTTGGGAGATTTGGGGGGAACATTTCGGGGTTTACAAAGACACATGTGCGGAATGGTGTGCGGGAAAAGGCACCTCGACGTGATGTGGGCGCGTTTTTAATGTTTGGGGCTCTTCCGGCTTACCGGTTTAGGGTTTGGGGGTGAGGGGTTCGGACGTGTTTTGGACCCTCAACCCTCACAACTCTGCACCCTACCAAACCCTTATATCCCCTACATATATAACCCCTAGATACAACCCCTAGATATAACCTCTAAATATGCACCCCTACCAAACCCCTATATCCCCTAAATATAACTCCTAAATATCACCCCTAGATATAACCCCTAAATATGACCCCTAGTAACCCCCTAGATATAACCCCTAGACAAAACCCCCTATATATAACCCCTAGATAAGTACCACGAACCTCTCAGTAGGGCCTAGTGGGTTCGGGTTTGGCGTACGGTTCAAAAATGCCCCTCCAGGTTTAGGGTTTAGGGTTTAGGGTTTGGGGTTTAGGGTTTAGGGTTTAGGGTTTAGGGCCTTTCCCCCCGCCCCCCCCCCCCCCCCTGCTCTGGAGGAAAGCAGGGTGGTGGAACATGAAGCCGGGGAGCGTCACCAGGAGGTGGTCGGCGCTGGGTTTAGGGTTTAGGATTTAGGGTTTAGGGTCCAGGGTTTAGGGTTTAGGGTTTAGGGTGGGAGATTTGGGGGCCGAGTTTGTGGGTTGCGGCCTGACGTTCCCTTGACCCTGACACACCTCCAGCAAAGCTCTTCCCTCCTCCTTGGCCTGGGTGCCTGCTGGGTCCTACTCCTACTCTTCTCAACAGGCGCAGCGGTCATGCTTAGGGCTTGATCAGATTGGGCAAATCAGATTGGGCAAATTCGTTAGTCCACGTTGTTTGCTTCGCCGCCGGCTATCCCTTGTTGCTATTTCTAGGCACCCACTCTCCTTTCCCCTAAGTCCTAAACGCTTGCATCCTGATACAACCAATCTTGAAGCTGTGTTGCAGCATCCTCGACTAACCCTAAACCCTAAACCCTAAACCCTAAACCCTAAACCCTAAACCCTAAACCCTAAACCCTAAGCCCTAAACCCTAAACCCTAAACCCTAAACCCTAAACCCTAACTTGCTCATAATCCACGTCCCTGGGCCCAAATCGCTTTGATCAGGTGTGCGAAGAAGAAGCCCAGCACCTGCGGGTCCTTCCTGAGAAGGGCGAAGGAGAGGGGTCCGAGGATGCTGGAGAGGAAGCAGAGAAGGGAGGAGGAGATTCGGAGGGGGAGGAGGAGGAAGGTGAGGAGGTAGACGAGGAAGCGGTGCCGGATGTAGGTAATACGTCGGCAGAGGTGGGGGATGAGGCTGCGGAGCAGTCGGAGGTGGCAGATCCTGAAGCTGGGGAGGGGATTGAGGCGCATGAGCACGAGGGCGATGGCGAGCGTTCGAAGGTGGAGGAGGAGGAGGAACCGGATGAGGAGGAGGACGAGGAGGAGGAGCGTCCGAGCCACGCTGAAGCCATTGATGTCCCGGATGACGTCGAGGAGGACCCACATTCAACTCGTTTGGGAGTTGCAGCATTGCAGCAATAGTTCTCAACGCCCTCAAGCTCTTAGACTTGAGCTGACGCTTCCTCAACCCTAAACCCTAAACCCTAAACCTCAAACCCTACACCCTAAACCCTCTGACGCTTCGCTAACCTAAAGATGCCCAAGAATGAGCAGTCTGCGAAGGATGTCACTCAGGCCAGTCCAGCCGGGTGCCAAGCGATCCATGCTCAAGGCCCTATCGCAAGGGCCTAGATACTTTGTGGTGCTTTACTGTAACTTTACATCTTTAGCCTTTTTGGGTTTATTGGGTTTCTTAATAAGCCAGCTAAAAATTTAATTTTTAGCTACCCCCCTAAGTGCAGCCAAGGATACTTCCCCCCAACAGTTTTCTGATAAATACAGGGGCCCTAAGAATAAAGTGAAGAGCTTTTGGGGGGGGGGGGGGGGTTAGATATTGTAGTATAATTTGATAGGGGCCGCAAGGGAATACTACTATTGGGAATTATTCCGACCCTTATAGTACATAAGCTGTTTGGGGTCTTTCGCTGGTGCAGTGTAGTTTGAGTTCCCACATCGTCCCGTTGCAGTCGTAGTACGAAGCCATGCCCTGACAGTGATTGAGTTCGGGGCTGCGGTCTTCTTCGAGCCTAGATCCCCGAATGCCCTGAAACCGTAAACCCTAAAACCCTAAAACCCGAAAACCCTAAAACCCTAAACCCCTAAAACCTAAACCCCTAAAAAAGTCCCGAAGTCTCTCACACTCGGAACCCTACACCTACACCCCGGCTCCTAAATCACGAAGGGCTGCGGGCGTTCAGTGGTGTTTCGAGCACCCCTAAACCCTAAACCCTAAACCCTAAACCCTAAACCCTAAACCCTAAACCCTAAACCCTAAACCCTAAACCCCTTTTCGAGCCGAGGTTGGGGAAGACGTGGCTGACTCCCATGGCCCTGCTGAGGAAGAGAGCATCAGACTTTCAGAGCCCTGAAGCTCCAACATTCTACGCCCGGTTTAGGGCTTAGGGTTTAGGGTTTAGGGTTTAGGGTTTAGGGTAAGCACCACAAAACCCTTAGACGACAACAGCCACCAACATGCCCACGGTCCTCGAAGGTCAGAAGGAAGGAACCCAAATAATGTGCCCTTTTGGAGTTTTGCTGAGAATATAGGGAAAGCCTAAACGTCCCCGTGAACCGTGGGGGTCAGGATTTCATTAGGTTTCTGCGCGTCCGCACAGTTCACGTACTTGAAGGTTCATGGGCAGCTTTCAGTAGGGTTTTATATACGTACCCCAAACAAGGCAATGAACAGATACAGCTGCAGCAGTTATATCCACGTACGAACCTCCATGCAACCCCTAAACGACTTCAAGCCTAAACACCCTAAACCCTAAAACGCGTTGCACCCGAAACTACCTCAACAAGTTTCGCCCTAAAACTTCAACCTAAACCTTAAACCTAAACCTTAAAACGAACCCTAAACCCTAAACCCTAATCCCTAATCCATAATCCCTAATCCCTAAACGTCGAGTTGTCTTGACTTCGTTATGTCGCACGACGACGCTTGGAAACGCCCTTCGATACATAGAACGCATTAAACGTTGTCGACAGTTGTGCCACTGTTGGTTCCGCAAGCACAAAGTCTGCACTTTCACCTCTGACGACATGCTTCCACCCAAACAAGGATCTGAAACTTGAACCCTTCAAAACCCCCCTGAGTTTTGCATCGTCCGGGCCAAAATTCATGCAATATATCCCCCCGAGAAAGGGGTCAGGCGCCATGCCGACTGAAACGGGGACCGGGGGGGAACTATTCTTTTCGGAATTGGGTTGTGGACAACATTGCGTGATTGGCCCTGATCACATCGGCTGGTTGCAAGTGGAAAAAGCATTCAACCAGCTGAGAGTAGCCAGGAGAAGAACTTTACTAAATCCGTGAGCTGTGGTTTTCACTACCATATCTGCGACCCCATTGAACCAAGCAAAGCATCGCCCTGCTCCGTGGAGCTGCTTCCAACCCTAAACCCTAAACCCTAAACCCTAAACCCTAAACCCTAAACCCTAAACCCTAAACCCTAAACCCTGAACCCTAAACCCTAAACCCTAAACCCTAAACCCTAAACCCTAAACCCTAAACCCTAAACCCTAAACCCTAAAATCAAAAAAACTGAGATCAACAAAAAGACCCAGCAGTCCAAATTTGAATCGGGCACCTCGGGACGGAAACCACGCTTTAGCTTCTCATAGGCTGCACATGCGACTTCGGCACGGTCAGCCCGGAACTCGGAACCCTAAACCCAGCACGGTGAGTCAACGACCTAGTGGGTTCAGGTTTGGGGCTTAACGGTTCAAAGAAGCCCGAGAGCCCTCCACGCTTCCCGAGTTCGTGTCGAAAATGTGGGTTGTTCTACATCCTCCCCTCTCGTAGATGTGGGGAGAGAACCGTTGATTCGAACATCCCTGAACCCCCACAGCCGAAGCCCATCTAGAAGACAGCGCAGGACCCGAAGGTCCTTCCTGCGAAAACCGAGGGCTCCGAGGATGCTAAGAAGGAAGCAGAGAAGGAAGGAGGAGATGAGCGGGAGGAGGGGGAGGAGGGGGAGGAGGAAGGCGGGGAAAGCGAGGAGGCGGAGGAGGAAGCAGTGCCGGATGTGGATATGTCGGCAAAGGTGGTGGATGAGGCCGGGGAGGGGTCGGAGGTGGCAGATCCCGAAGCTGAGCAGGGGATTGAAGCTCATTTGAACCAGGGCGGTGGCGAGCATTCGGAGGCGGAAGGGGAGGAGGAGAAGTCTGCCAGCGAGGCCGACGCCATTGAAGTCCCTGGCGACATCCAAGAGGACCAGCAGTCAACTGAGCAGCCTCCGCAGATTGTCATTCAGGCTGTTCCAGCCGTGTCCCAAGCGATCCATCTTCATGATTCTCTCATCACTACTACAATCCCTACTAAGGTATGTGAACCATAAACCCTTTAAGGGTTCATGTGGTTTATAAGGTAGGGGTACAACCCTTATCACAGGAGCCTATAGATGATTCCCCAACAGTCGGCGTTGGGGTTCTCAGTTTGATCTCTTATCTCGGGATTTTCCGACTAGTCGCGACACAGGCCTGCAAGGCTTCAGGGTGGTCTGTGTCTCTCTTAACTTCTTCATGTTGAAACTAGGATGCTCAGTAGTACCCTTATTCCCTTTTTGGTAGGTTTAGGTTCCCTTATACACCCCTGTAAGCAAAAAAGGGCACCCTTTTTCATCCTAGGTTACTGGGCAACGTAGGAAAACACATGTTTCAAGACTTATGGTCTACTTACACCTTTTTGGTCTTTGCTAGTGCAGCTTGGATTTCCCGTATTGTCCCGTTGTAGTCCTAGCAAAACCCATTCGAGCCACCTCTGCCCAGCCCTAAACCCTAACCCTAAACCCGAAACCCGAAACCCTAAACCCTAAACCCTAAACCCTAAACCCTAAACCCGTTTTCGAGCCGAGGTCGGGGAAGACGCGGCTGACCCTGATGGCCCCTCTGAGGAGGGGAGCATCAACTTTGTGGTGCTTTACTGTAACTTTACATCTTTAGCATTTTTGTGTTTATTGGGTTTCTTAAGAAGCCAGCTGAAAGTATAATTTTTGCTACCCTCCTAAGTGCAGCCAAGATCAGAGGGTTTAGGGTTTCGAGTTTAGCGTTTAGGGTTTGGGTGTGCGAAACGAAACTCCTAAATCCTAAGCCCCGACAAGAAGGAAGCTTCAGAAGCTCTAAAGCGACCACAGCCACGAACCCACGGTCCTCGAAGATCAGCCATAAGGGCCCCGAATATGGCCCCTGGGCCGTTTTGGGCGGGAAAGTATTGGAACCTTATAGCCAAATGAAGAGCACATGCCACTGGGTGCGCCCGACGCAAATCTTTTAGCATTTAGTTTCCAGCGCGACGGTCAGTGCAGCCAGGCCCTAATGTGACCCTCCGCAAGGCCCGACCCCAAACTTTTTGACCCGAAGAGCGCCATGAGAAAAGTCACGCAGGAAGCATCAGCCCCCTTTCTTCAGGCAGCGCAAGTAAAGGAGTAGATTGACAACCGGGCTTCGGGTTGAGGGCATCCAGTAGGTTAGTCCCTCACATCCTGAAGTGCCCTACACAAACCCCGAGCCCTCTATGGGGGGGCTAATGTAAATTAGTGACCCTTGGCAATCCCTCAGGGTCCATGTGCCTAAACGGGGAATACTTAGGCCTTAAAGTACGTCCTATGTAGGGGCCCAAGTATATAGTTACAAGGTACATGGACCCTTAGGGAATAGTCAGCTGAGAGATATGGGTTAGGGTTTAGGGTGTAGGGTTTAGGGTTTTCTTAAGGAAGGGTTCAGAGTTTGGGGTTTCGTTCTGACCTAAACCCTAAACCCTAAACCCTAAACCCAAAACCCTAAATATCCAGGACCAGGAGGCGCGCGACATCCGCGAAATCCAAGACGTGTTTGGAGCGGATCTGGAGGACTTGGGGAGTCGGATGGAACACGGGCACTCCGCGAAAGGGTCAAGCATTCAGCATAATCAAGCAGAGCCCCCCGAAGCGACCGAAACCTGGCGCACCCCTAAACCCAGAACCTTAAAGTCTTTTGGTAGTCGAACGTCATTCTACTCCTTCCGCTTGGATTGAAGGTGTAAGGTTTGAGATTTGGGGGCTGAGGCTAAGGGTTTGGCTTTGTGAGTGATCTTGTACAGGTCTTGGGGGGTACCTTCGGGGTTAGAGGGTTTAGGGTTTTGGGTTTGGGGTTAAGGGTTTAGGGTTTAGGGTTCGGCTTTGTGCTGGAGACTTCAGTCGGAAGACCTGCGCGCTTCCTGCTTTCCAACTGTCATACCCAGAGACTCCACAACCCCTTAATGAAGCAATATACCTTAAATTATAGTAGGAACCCGAATATGATTTAAGGTATATTCCTCAATTAAGGGGTTTTGGAGTCTCTGGGCAAGAGAGTCCCAAGAATCGCCCAAGAACCCAACACTTAATCCGTGACCCTAAACCCTGTGGCTCTCCGTCAGTCATGCAGGAAGAGATGCGGCGTGGTGATGTGCATGAAAGGGAAGCGCAGGCATGCCTATGCTTGGGGAATTTTAGGGTTCAGGAATTCAATTAGGGTTTAGGGTTTAGGGTTTTGGGTTTAGGGTTTTGGGTTTTGGGTTTTGGGTTTACCGCAAGCACTCAGAGTTCGTGGCCATTGTACTCTCGCAGGCAATGTGATGCATGGCAGTGCAGATGTGTTGGACATGTTGGTGAGGCCTCAGATGATGTGCCTCCCGACGCCAGCTCGGTCCAGCTGGCTCCGCAGTCTCCGGTGCAGAAGGCCAGCCAGAACCGACTGCTTAGTAAGTCATGTCGGCCAGATCTCCGCTACGGTCGAAACCAAGTAGCCGTACCCCCCACCAGAAGAAACGCCAACCGCCAACCTAAAGGTGTTGCACATTGTCCTTTCCGATCGACAGGCGCTGGCCACAGAGGATGCTGGACCTGAGGCCCACGGCTTCTCTGCACGATTCAAAGGGCCGTAACACGTTGTCGGTAATAAGGAGTCTTGGCAGTCTGTGCCGAATACCGAAATGGCGCCTGCAAGAAGAGCCCTGTGAGTCATTTTTTCCAACAGTTGTAAGAGAGGCCAAGCACTGAACGCCTAACCCCAACGCTAAACCCTTGGCGAGGACTTGGATGATGTGCCTTCCGACGCTAGCTCGGTCCACCTGGTTCCACAGTCTCCGGTGCAAAAGGCGGGCCAGACACCGACTGCTTGGTGAGTCATGTCGGCCAGATGCCGACTCCAGTCGAAAACAAGTAGCCACCAGAATTAACGCTAAACTAAAGGTCGTGCTGCACATTTTCCTTTCCGATCGACAGGCGCTGGCCACAGAGGCTGCTGGACCTGAGGCCCACGGCTTCTCTGCACGAAAGGGCCGCAACTCATGATTAGTATTGAAGACTCTTGGCAGTCTGTGCCGTCGCGTGCTGAATACCGAGATGGGGCCAGCAAGAAGACCCCTTTTTTCGCACAGTTATAACAGAGGCCCAAGCACTGAATGCCTAGGCCCCAACCCTGAACCCTTGGCGAGGACTTGGATGATGTGCCTTCCGACGCCAGTTCTGTCCATCTTGTTCCACAGTCTCCGGTGCAAAAGGCGGGCCAGACACCGACTGCTTGGTGAGTCATGTCGGCCAGATGCCGACTCCAGTCGAAAACAAGTAGCCACCAGAATTACACTACCCTAAAGGTCTGTTGCCAGTTTGCCCCGGCAGCGTGGCCACAGAGGCTGCTGGACCTGAGGCCCACGGCTTCTCTGCACGAAAGGGCCGGAACACGTTGTCGGTAATAAGGAGTCTCGGCAGTCTGTGCCGAATACCGAAATGGCGCCTGCAAGAAGAGCCCCTGTGCGTCATTTTTCGCACAGTTATAACAGAGGCCCAAGCACTGAATGCCTAGGCCCCAACCCTAAACCCTTGGCGAGGACTTGGATGATGTGCCTTCCGACGCCAGCTCTGTCCATCTTGTTCCACAGTCTCCGGTGCAAAAGGCGGGCCAGAAACCGACTGCTTGGTGAGTCATGTCGGCCAGATGCCGACTCCAGTCGAAAACAAGTAGCCACCAGAATTAACGCTAAACTAAAGGTCGTGCTGCACATTTTCCTTTCCGATCGACAGGCGCTGGCCACAGAGGCTGCTGGACCTGAGGCCCACGGCTTCTCTGCACGAAAGGGCCGCAACTCATGATTAGTATTGAAGACTCTTGGCAGTCTGTGCCGTCATGTGCTGAATACCGATATGGGCCCAGTAAGAAGACCCCTTTTTTCGCACAGTTATAACAGAGGCCCAAGCACTGAATGCCTAGGCCCCAACCCTAAACCCTTGGCGAGGACTTGGATGATGTGCCTTCCGACGCCAGCTCTGTCCATCTTGTTCCACAGTCTCCGGTGCAAAAGGCGGGCCAGAAACCGACTGCTTGGTGAGTCATGTCGGCCCGATCCCGACTCCAGTCGAAAACAAGTAGCCACCAGAATTAACGCTACCCTAAAGGTCTTGCTGCACAGTTTGCCCTCGGCAGGCGCTGGCCACAGAGGATGCTGGACCTGAGGCCCACGGCTTCTCTGCACGAAAGGGCCGGAACACGTTGAGTCTTGGTAGTCTGTGCTGTCATGTGCTGCTGAATACCGAATCGGCGCCAGCAAGAAGAGCCTTGTGCGTCATTTTTGCACGAGTTGTGATTGAGGCCCAAACACTGAATGCCTAAGCCCCAACCCTAAACCCTTGACGAGGACTTAGATGATGTGCCTTCCGACGCCAGCTCGGTCCATCTGGTTCCACAGTCTCCGGTGCAAAAGGCGGGTCAGAAACCGACTGCTTGGTGAGTCATGTCGGCCAGATCCCAGCTACAGTCGAAACCCAGTAGCTGCCAGAATTAACGCTAAACTAAAGGTCGTGCTGCACATTTTCCTTTCCGATCGACAGGCGCTGGCCACAGAGGCTGCTGGACCGGAGGCCCAGGGATTCTCCGCACGAGTCAAAGGGCAAAGGGTTTTGGGTTTAGGGTTTAGGGTTTAGGGCTTAGAATTAAGGGGGCATGTCATGAAGCTCTTAGAATGCGTGGCCAGTGCACTCCCTCGGCAATGCGCTGCATGGCGGTGCAGATGTGTTGGAGATGTTGGCGAGGCCTCTGGTGATGTGCCTTCCGACCTCAGCTCGGCGCATCTGGCTCCGCAGCCTGCGGTGCAACAGGCCCGATAAACCCGAAACCCTAAACCCTAAACCCTAAACCCTAAACCCTAAACCCTAAACCCTAAACCCTAAACCCTAAACCCTAAACCCTAAACCCTAAACCCTAAACCCTAAACCCGATCACAGAACTGAGACTCCCTGCAAACCGTCCATATTCGCCAAGAACTTGTCGCAATATACCCCCAGCTTCAGCAGATTGAATATTCGCAATACATGTCTGCCACCTCTCCCCCCAACAGGATACCGCTTTTCGGAAACCCTCATGAAACCCCAAACATGCCATCGTAGCAGGCGCAGCCTGTCGAGAACCAACGTGGAACCCGACAACGAGGAGGCTTTTCCTCTTTCCTTTCCGACTGCCGCGGAGGCCCTCCGACACCATTTCCAAGAGTCTTGGGGGAGAGACATGGGTTGTCTATATCCCCCTTGGGATTTGTTTTTTGTTTTTGTTTATATAAAACCCAAGAGGATATCAAACATATGATGTTCATTAAGGTTCTAAGGGGAGTATAGTTGTCTTGCGAGCAGATGCAGAGGCTGCATACAAATTGCATCGTATTTGAGAGCCAGTCTCCGATCGCTTCAAGATGTCGGCTGCATCCACCCTAACTGAAGGTCCCTTTGGGGGTCCGGTTTAGGGTTTAGGGTTTAGGGTTTAGGGTTTAGGGTTTAGGGTTCCTATTAAAGTATTTTCCTTGTAGTTGAGGGTACCAAAAAGGCCCATGTCATAGAACAGCCCCCCCAGCATGGGTGATGTGGTCACAGAGGAAAAGTTTGCATGGCAGGCGCGAGTCGGCTGGAGGGCGAGCCAAAGCAGGCGCGCGGAACCGAAGCCCTAAACCCTAAACTGTAAACTGTAATTTGTAAACCCTAAACCCTAAAGCCTAAACCCTAAACCCTAAGCCCTAAACCCTAAACCCTAAACCCTAAACCCTAAACTAAATCGGGCCCTGATACCACAAGCTGCCCAGTTGGGTTTGGCCGAGCTGAGGGCTGCCATCCCCTCGGATAGCTTTAGGCTTTAGGCTTTAGGGTTTAGGGTCCAGGGTTCAGGGTTCAGGGTTTAGGGCACACAGCAGCCATACTGTTAGTATAGGCAACTGGCAACTCTTTCCTTGGATGTTCAGGGTACTTAGTAACCCTTAATCTAAAAGTGTAGGTATAACCCACATATAAGCCCCTTAAGTACCCTAGTTGGGTTATAATTGGGTTATAAGTACAGTTAGAATTGGGTTACTAAGTACCATGAACCTCCAAGTAGGGATATAACCGTGGGCAAGGAACTGGCTCGAAGGAGCTGGATCCCTTGAATGACCTTGTCTGAGATGATCATATACACGCACAGATGCGATGCGGTCGTTCTGAACGTGCATTGGATCATGGATAGAGAGGGAGGATTTATGTAAACCCTAAGCCTGGTACACCCTAAACCCTAAAGCCTATAAGCCCTTCCATAGGCCCTTAGCTTAGGGGCGCGCTGACGCTGACAGAGAGCTCATGTTTGGGGGTGGGGGGGGGGGGGGTCGGGGATTTGGGTCTAGGGTTTTGAGTTTATGTAGGGTCTAGGTGTTAGGGTTTAGGGAGGTTAGGGCTTAGGGTTGTTTGGGTTTAGTGTTGGGCGGGTGGAGAGACGTACCTTCTTCTGGAAGCCCTCGTGAGGAACCAAGTCGTGGTCATAGCCTCGCCCTCTGAATTTTGGGGCCGACATTCGAGTTAAACTACATAGGGGTCCCCCCGGCATCAGGATGAAATGAGACTCATTACGTTTAGGGTTTGCGCCTTCTGGGTGTAGGAGCCCCCTCCACACTCCCAAGCTCGCGTCGAAGCTGTGGGTCTTTTCTTTTAACACGAGCCTCCTCACCAATTCGGGATAGAACCCCTGATTCACAAGCAATGGAATGCCCTATATGCGTGCTTGAATAGCATCCCAGAACCCCAGCCGAAGCCCACCTGTGCCAGAAAAAAAAGAGCACCCGGCTTGCGTGCCCCTAAACCCTAAACCCTAAACCCTAAACCCTAAACCCTAAACCCTAAACCCTAAACCCTAAACCCTAAACCCTAAACCCTAAACACCCACAGGAGGAGGAAAGCAGCGCGGTCGAACATGAAGCCGAGGAGCAGCACCAGGAGGTGGGTGGGATGTGAGGATTTGTTGGGTGTGCGGCCTGGCCCTGACACGCCTAAAGCCCTTCCCTCCTCCTGTGGGTGTTTAGGGTTTAGGGTTTAGGGTTTAGGGTTTAGGGTTTAGGGTTTAGGGTTTAGGGTTTAGGGTTTAGGGTTTAGGGTTTAGGGTTTAGGGTTTAGGGTTTGGGGTTTAGGTTGTTTGCCCACTGGGCACTTCGCCACTAGCTATCCCTCGTCGTTTGTCGTTTCGCTGCTGTTGGCTTCCAGGCGGAACGTGGCTTCATCTAGGACTCGCTCCTAAACTAGGACCCAGAAGAGGGCCTATTCACTTTTTTAGGGTTTAGGTTCCCTGATAAGCCCCTTTAAGCCAAAAGGGTACCCTTTTTTTGCTAGGGTACTCCTGGGTCTTGTAAATGCCTGCATCCTGGTGCGGGCGATCTCAAAGCTGTGTTGAAGATCATCCTGTTGATCCTTTGTTCATGTACGAACAATAGCAGCAATACTCTGAATAAACAGGCACGGAGTAATCACAACAGTTCTCACTATTTCAAATATCATACGAATAGCCCGAAACCCTATAGCCCTGAACGCATTGAAAGGGTCGGGTGACAGAAGCTGTGGGCTCCAAAAGGGGCTTTGCCACGGGGATTTCGGGTGTTGCGACTGAAAGCATTGACAGTCGCATCCATGGGCCAAAAGTTGCAGGTGCGTGAACAAGAAGCGCAGGACCTTCGGGTCCTTCCTGAGAAGGGCGAAGGCGAGGGCTCCGAGGATGGTGGAGAGGAAGCAGAGAAGGGAGGAGGAGATTCGGAGGGGGAGGAGGAGGAAGGTGAGGAGGTGGACGAGGAAGCGGCGCCGGATGTAGGTAATGCGTCGGCAGAGGTGGTGGACGAGGCCGCAGAGCAGTCGGGGGTGGCAGATCCTGAAGCTGAGGAGAGGATTGAGGCGCATGAGGACGATGGCGATGGCGAGCGTTTGGAGGCGGAGGGGAAGGAGGAAGCGGAAGAGAAGTCTCCCAGCGGTGCCGAAGTCGTTGAAGTCCCCGATGCAGTCGAGGACCCGCATGCAACCTGTTGGGATTTGCAGCCACAGTTGTCAGTGCCCTCAAGTCCTCAGACTTGAGAATTTACCTTTCGCGAACGAGCCAACAAACCCAACCATGAGCCGTCTGCGAAGGATGTCACTCAGGCCATTCCAGCCGGGTGCCAAGCGATCCATCTTCAAGACCCTGTCATAGGAGCCTAGATGATTCACCCGATGATTCCCCCGTGGACAGTTGGGGTTCTCAGTTCCTTGAAAGAAGTTCCGGCTGGTCGAGGGAGGGTTGCCGGGTTTCAGGCTTTGTCTTCCTTCATGTTGGCTGTGTCTGCTGGTTTAGGGTTTAGGGTTTAGGGTATAGGATTTAGGGTTTAGGGTTTAGACCCTAAACCCTAAACCCGGTTGCCTGTGTCTGCGCTTGTCTCCCTTCATGGAATGCCTTCCGGGTTTCTTGCGGTGTTTGCGTCTCCCTTTGCGTCTCTTCATGTTGGGAATATAGTTTAAACACTTAAAGTTCTGGTCTGCAGTGCTCGGCTGGTGTAAGTTGACTTCACTAAACCGAAGTCGAGCCCAGGTCGGGGAAGATGTACTTGACTCCCACGGTCCAGCTGAAGAGGAGAACATCAGATGTTCGATTCAAAGCCATAAACATCCTTAAGCTCTTGAATCCTAGGCCCTACACCCCGGAAAAAAAGGCGACATTAAACCGTACTACGACCAAAGCCACGAAGGCACGTTTGGGGTATTCCGAGGGTAAATACAGGCCAAAGTGACAGGGCACCTGTTCGGTACCCATGCTTCAGGCCCTAAAAAACTTAAACCTCTGCCATGAAGCGCGGGGGTCAAGATTCGAGTCGAGTGCTTCGCCTTGAAACGCTGCTGGCCCATGAGACCCCCTAAGCCCTAATTTGCTAGGTTGTCCCCCCCTTTTAGCAACACCTCCCCCCGAAGTCTGGAATAAAGACTCTCACGATAAGGGAGAGCCTCCTAAGCCGAAACTCGTCGACCCACGGGCCCATATGGGCCATCAAAGCTGCTCAGATAACTTACCCAGGGTTTAGGGTTTAGGGTTTAGGGTTTAGGGTTTAGGGTTTAGGGTTTAGGGTTTAGGGTTTAGGGTTACCCCTGAGGAGGTGGACGGCGAGGAAGATCTGGAGGACAGGGATGCCAAGGAGCCTTGCTGCGGGGCTGGGGGGTGGTGGGGTGTATTGCTATAAGGTTCTTGGTTTAGCCACAGGGTTTTAGGCCCCTGGCCGGCACCAGTGCAGTCACTAAACCCTAAACCCGAAACCCGAAACCCGAAACCCTAAACCCTAAACCCTAAACCCTAAACCCTGAACCCTGAACCCTAAACCCTCAACCCTAAACCCTAAACTCTAAACCCCCAAGCTAGATCCGAGTCCGCAAGGCCCAGCCCCAAACCCGCAGACCCCAAGATCGCCATGAGAAAAGTGACGCAGGATCCCAATTCTTGAGCGGGCTTCCGTTTCTATCTAGGATGCCCAGTAGTGCCCTTATTCCCTTTTTGGGGGGTTTAGGTTCCCTGATAAACCTCTTTAAGCAAAAAAGGGCACTACTGGGCAACCTGGGTTTTATGGCGTCCTGAATATTAGCCAGACAGACCCTCCCCTGACCTCCCCTCGGCCTGAAGGACAGCGGACATGGTTTGTAGAAGTCTGGGGCTCTAGGACTCTAGGATTTACAGCTTGAAGGGGTTGTAGGGGTTTGGGCGCGATTGTTGTTTTTTAAAGGGTTCAGAACTCAGGGGTTTCGTGACAGGACGAGGAGGCGCGCGACATCCGGGAGATCGAAGACGTGTTCGGAGCGGATCTGGAGGACATTGGGAGATGGAACGGGGGGTTTAGGGTTTAGGGTTTAGGGTTGGTTTAGGGTTTAGGGTTTAGGGTTTAGGGTTTAGGGTTTAGGGTTTAGGGTTTAGGGTTTAGGGTTTAGGGTTTAGGGTTTAGGGTTTAGGGTTTAGGGTTTAGGCCAGCGCGGGTGTTAAGGTAGGACCGAGGCTTATTTAGGCTAATATATCGGCGACGGAATATTACGAATAGTATTCCCTTTTGTCTCCTTCCAGTTATACTATAATAACCCCCAAAACCCTATTCTAATCATTAAGGCCCCTATATTGGGTTGTTTTCGGAGATTACTAATTCCCCTTGTGGTCCCTTGAAAATTATTCTCGAATAACCCCCAAAACCCTATTCTAATCATTAAGGCCCCTTTATTCGGGCTTTGGCATGGTCAGAGGCTACGGAAACCAGCAAGTGCGCCACCCCTGTCATCGCCGAGGCGCGCGGGAGCAATGCAGAGTTTAAGGATTAGGGTTTAGGGTTTAGGGTCTAGGGTCTAGGGTCCAAGGTTTAGGGCTTAGGGTTCAGGATTTCGCGTTTAGGGTTTAGGGTTTAGGTTGCAGTTCATTGTATCTGGGGATGTCCGAAAATCGGGGTACCCAAAATATACCCCAGAGCACTAGGATCCCAATAAAGGGCACCCCCTATTATTTTCGGAAACCTCCATCTGAGTCATGACTTCGTTTAGAGGTTCTTCTAGCGATTGTTGCTTGGGCGTGTTTGGTTGAGTGCGCCGTGGGGATTGAACTCGCATGCTGCGAGGTGCCAGCAGGAAGACCCCCCCCCCCCCCGCGTGCGTTGAGCCAACCGTAAAATGAGAGACCCAAGCACCGAACTACATTAAATCCTGTGTCATGCAGGCAGAGATGCGGCAAGGTGATGTCCACGATGAGGAAGCGCAGGCACTCCTGCAGGGTTAAGGGATTTAATTGCGTGGGTCTGTCATGAAGGTCTCAGAGCATGCAGGCAGTATAACCTACTCTCCCAGCAATGTGATGCATGGTGGTGCAGATGTGTTGGCGATGTTGGCGAGGTCTCAGATGATGGACCTTCCGACACCAGCTCGGTCCATCTGGTTCCACAGTCTCCGGTGCAAAAGGCAGGAAAGACCGACTGCGTAGTGAGTCACGTCGGCCGGATACCAGTGCACGCAAAGCAACCACATTTCACCGCGCATATTGCCCTTTCTAATTGACAGGCGCTGGTCACAGAGGATGCTGGCCTTGAGGCCCACAGCTTCTCTGCACGCTTCAACGGGCCGTGCCCTGCTGAATACCGGAATGGCGCCAGCAGAAATACCCCCGTGCGTGCGTTGAACCAACGGTAAAAAGGAGGCCCAAACACTGAGTCACGAGTAAACTGTGCCGAACCTTGTTAAAACCTGCGGCTCTGCGTCGGTCATGCAGGCAGAGGTGCGGCATGGTGATGTCCACGACGAGGACGCGCGGGCAGTTCTGTACTTAGGGTTTTGTGATTAAGCACTCAAAGTACCTGGCCAGTGCAAGGTACTCTCGCAGCCTTATGATGCTGGGGTGCGGGGTCATATGTGTTGGCAATGTTGGCCAGGCCTCAGACGATGCGCCTTCCGACGCCAGCGCAGTCCATCTGGTTCCACAGTCTCCGGTGCAAGAGGCCGATCGCAGAAATGAGACTCCTTGCAAACCGTCCATGGATATTTCCAGGAACTTACCGCAATATTCCCCCAGCATACTACAATTTCTCATTATAGGTCCGCCACCCCTCCCCAAACAGAGCACCCCTGGTTTTCGGAAACCCTCATAGAACCCTAAAACATGCCATAGCAGGCACAGCCCCTCCAGCGTGGAACCCGACAACGAGGAGGTTTTTCCTCTTTCCTTTCCGGCCATGGAGGCCCTCCGACACCACTTCCGCAAATCTCGGGGGGAGGGGGAGCCATGGATTGTGTTCCCAGCAGAGCAGGCTGCATGCACTTGCATAGCACTTGAGAGCCAATCTCCTATCGTTTTAAGGCGCCAGCTGCATGTTGAATTGAGGCACCCTAAACTACTAAACCCTGAACCCGAAACCCTCAACCCTACATGTTCAGGACCAGAGCACGTTAGCATGGGCGAGATGATAAGTTTCCGGTGCAGGTACGAGCCGGCTGGAGGGCGAGCCAAAGCAGGCGCCAAGAACCGAAGCCCAAACACTCAGAAAAGGGGTTTAGGGTGTAGGGTTTAGGGTTTAGGGACCATGACTGTGAAAGCCGCTCATGTGGGCTTTGGCTGTGCTGAGGGCTGACACCTCTTTAGGTAGCAAACATAACGGTCATATTGTGAGGTTTAGGTTTTAGGGTTTAGGGTTTGAGTCTACTAAAGCAAGTGGCAGCCCTGCCGGGGTATGAGCTTGAGGGAAGGGGCCTAGATCCCATGAATGACGTTGGCTGATGATATTCTTTGCTGGCTCCGAGGGGGCGCAGGATATATACATATATATATATATATATCATATGTATATATATATATATATATATATCATACATATATACATACATATATATATATACATATGTATCACGTCGACTTGCGACGAGGTTATTGGCTGTGAAGACTTGTGTCCGGAAGGTTGTGCAGGAAAACGTGCCCCGATGTGATGCGGGAGCCACACCCCTGCACCCTCCCTAAACGCTAATTCAAACAAGCCTCAAAAAAGAGAGTACAAACCTTTAGGGCAACACCCTACCTAAACCCTAATTCGAAGGAGCCTCAAAAAAGAGTGTATAAACCTTTCGGGCAATTTTCCAGGGAGTCCACTAACCCCTAATCATTCAATATAACTTTGATTGCATCATGATGACTTTAGGGTTTAGGGTTTAGGGTTTAGGGTTCAGGGTTTAGGGTTTAGGGTTTAGGGTTTGGGGTTTAGGGTGTAGGGACCCTTATGTAACACCTGGATTCATAGGGCTCGAAGCCTGGACTTCGTTAGGCCCCCTAGCATGGGGTTTCAGGAGCTGTTTGGTTTCGGAAATGGGCCGCACCTGTTCGAGGGGAGGGTTGGGGGTTTAGGGTTTAGGGTTTAGGGTTTAGGGTTTAGGGTTTAGGGTTCAGGGTGTAGGGTTTAGGGTTTAGGGTTTAGGGTTTAGGGTTTAGGGTTTGGGGTTTAGGGTTTAGGGTTTGGGGGGTTGAGGGTTTGGGGTTCATGGGTTTGGGGTTTAGGGTTGGGTGGCGGAGGGAAGCCCTACTAAATCCCCCACAAGCTCCTTACCCCCAAGCCGAACCCTAATCCCTCAACCCAACGCCGGGTTTACGGTTCAATTTTGCCAGCAGAGGCCCATGAGGGGATCCGAACATCCCTCAGCCTAGTAGCCAAAGCCCCATGTTTGCCAGAAACGTCCTGGAGGAAAGCAGCGTCGAACATGAAGCCGAGGAGCAGCACCAGGAGGTGGGTGAGCGAGGGATGCGGGAGATTTGTTGTGGGACTTCTGCGGCCTGACGATCCCTGGACCCTGACACGCGCGCCTCCAGCAAAGCTCTTCCCTCCTCCTTTGCGGTTTTGCCTGCTGGGCACGACTCAACGGGCGGAGGAGGCTTGCCTAGCACGTGTGGTTTGGTCAGAAGCAAACAGGCCTTCCTGTGCGATTGGCCCAAATTTGGCTAGTCTGCGTTTTTGTTTCGCGGCTGGCGATCCCTTGTTATTTGTCGTTTCGATACTCCCTTATGGTTCCTTGATTATTATACGATAACAACCCCCAAAACCCTACTCTAATTATGAAGGCCCGTATATTAGGCATGGGTAGGCCAGGCATGTGCTTCCAGCCGGTGCGTGCCTCGGTCTATGATTGGCTCCTAAACGCGTGTATCCTGATGCGACCGATCAAAAACATTAGAACCCCAAACGCCTAGCTGTCTTCGATCGGTGGTGGCGGTGGTTGTGCCGGGGGGTGGGGTGGGGGTTGCTTTAACATGGTCGGGTGATACAAGCCGTTGGCTTTTCAAGGCAGGGATTTCGGGTGTTGCGACTGAAAGCATTGACAGCCGAGCCCATGCATTATGTTTTGAATTTGCAGTTTAGGGGTTTAGGATGTGCTGTGGTAGGACCTGGAGGTCTGGAGTGTTTGTTCTGAGGGATTGCAGCCCGTAGCGTCGGCGAGGGATTAGGACAGGACTTGCTTGGACCCAGCTGCGATCGCTTCGATCAGGTGCGAGAACACGAAGCACAGGACTTGAGGGCCCTGCCTGAGAAGGGCGAAGGCGAGGGCTCCGAAAATGCTGGAGAGGAAGCAGAGAAGGGAGGAGGAGATGGAGAGGAGGAGGGGGACGCAGGCGAGGAGGTGGACGAGGAAGCGGCGCCGGATGTAGGTAATGCGTCGGCAGAGGTGGGGGATGAGGCTGCGGAGCAGTCGGAGGTGGCAGATCCTGAAGCTGAGGAGAGGATTGAGGCGCACGAGGACGAGGGCGATGGCGAGCGTTTGGAGGCGGAGGGGAAGGAGGAAGCGGAAGAGAAGTCTCCGAACGATGCCGAAGTCATTGAAGTCCCCGATGCAGTCGAGGACCCGCATTCAACTTGTTTGGGAGTTGCAGCCATAGTTGTCAGTGCCTTAGATGTTAGAATCGCAGCGTTTTGGAATCGCCGCGTTTGGGGAAAGCCCGAATCGCGCGATTTAAATGGGTATGTATAAGGGTTGAGAAAGAGGCTTCAAGGGGAACTTGAAGGGGGAAGCTAAATGATTTTTCTGGGGTTCGTTAAAGATCTTTCGAACAGCTCCGTTGCTTAAACCTCTCGTAATTTCCCTACCCTCGACTCCGGTTTAAGGTTGAGGGTTGAGGGTGGTTTAGGGTTTAGAGTTTAGGATTGAGGGTTGAAGGTTGAGGGTCGAGGGTCGAGGGTGGAGGGTTCAGGGTTGAGGGTTATTTGGTGCTCGAACCCCCCCACCCCCCCCCTTCAGAAGGACCAGGTTCTAAACACTTATCCTAAGTCTTAAACCCATAAACCTTGAAGGGAAAACATCAGAAATGATTTTTGCCAGGGCCTGCAAAAATCATTTCGTGCTCACCCCCCCCCCACCCCCACGTCAGAAGTACCAGATTCGGTACAAACCAAAAAAACACACAGTGCTCTCGGAAGTAAGTCGTTGAACATGGTACTTTTCTGGATAAAATCCTCAACCTGATTGTTTCATACATTGAAAAGCCTAGCTTAGAGCCTAGAGCCTAGATTCTCAAGGCTAAACTCTCAATCCTAGCCCCTAAACCCAAAACCGTGCAAAACAACACCCAGCTCGAGCATGAATGATACTGCCACAACGAAGACACAAGTGCCATGGATGGAGCCCTGTAAAACCTAAAGCCGACACTCCTACATGGTCGTGAAACTCAAAAGAAACCAAATCCTGCATCTCAACGGGCTCAGCTTCGGCAGGCCTGAAGACTGTCACACGTCGCGGAAGACAGAAACCCGGAATCTGCATTGTGCTTGGATCGCTTCAAATCGCCAACAAATCGCTGCAAATCGTAGGGCAACTTGGAAGTCAAAGGACCATGCCCACAAGTTTGCTAAGAAACCCTGATCTTAAGGCCTGTTAGCCCTAAACCCAAAAACCTTGAAGGAAAAACATCAGAAATGATTTTTGCCAGGGCCTGCAAAAATCATTTCGTGCTCAACCCCCCCCCACCCCACCCCCACATCAGAAGTACCAGATTCGGTACAAACCAAAAAAACACACAGTGCTCTCGGAAGTAAGTCGTTGAACATGGTACTTTTCTGGATAAAATCCTCAACCTGATTGTTTCATACATTGAAAAGTCTAGTTTGGGTTGGGCGAGAGGGTGTTTAGCTTAAGCCCTAAACTCTAAACTCTTACTCAAATATACATGAAAGAAAATCTGTACTTCGCTACGTGCGAGTTTCGAGACCAATGAGGGCCTTCAAATGGCTCCGTAAACTGAATTTCCAAACAACTGAAGGCTTTCCAGCACCTCTCTGAATCTAAGTTTCCGGTTATTCAAGGCTTCCTAAAAGCGCCCCTGAACTTGAATTTCTGAAATAGTGACAAAGTCCTTGGGCCCAAGCTGGCTAAATGATTTTTCCCAAACACGCAAAAATCATTGAACCCACTTCTCACGAGTGCTGCTTGAAAGCAGCACAAGCTGCGATTTGGCATTGGAAACCCGAATCGCGCGATTTGCGTTTCCAACGGTTGAATACGACCGAATAAGAAGCGATTCGGGCCTGCGTGTTTAAATCGCAGCGATTTGATTCCGCGATGTCATCTTCTAAGGTCAGTGCCCTCAAGCCCCCAGACTTGAGAATGGACGTTTCGCGAACGAGCCAACCTAACTCAACCATGAGTAGTCTGCGAAGGATGCCATTGAGGCTCTTCCAGCCGGGTGCCAAGCGATCCATCTTCAAGACCCTATCAGGAGCCTTCAACAGTTCCTTCTAGTCTAAGAATTTCCGACTGGCCGATATGCTTGTCTCCCCTTGTCTTTCTTCATGGATGGCCTTCCAGGCTTCTGGTGGTTTGCGTCTCCCTTTGAGAGGCTCTCTTCAGGTTGGACATGTTGTTTCAAGACTTCAAGTTCTGGTCTACACTGTTCGCGGTCTTCGCTGGTGTAAGTCGAAGTCGAGCCGAGGTCGGTGAAGATGTTGCCGAGTCCCGTGGCCCAGCTGAGGAGGAGAACACCCGATATTCGATTCTTAGCCCTTACGCAGGGTTTGGTTTAGGGTTTAGGAGCCCTAAACCCCGAACCAAAAGGAAGCATCATGAAACTCCAACACGGCCAAAGCCACGAAAGTGCCCACGGACCTCGGTCGAACCCCTGTGCAATTTGGGGGGTATATTATGAGTTTGTACAGACTCCACGTCTTCCGTGAAGCGCGGGGGGTCAGGACCTGTTTAGGTTTCTTTACGGCTAGGCCCAGCTTGTGGGGTTTCGGTTTTAGGCCCAGAGACTCCAAAACCCCTTAATTTAGGAATATACCTTAAATCATATTAGGGTTCCTATTATAATTTAAGGTATATTCCTTAATTAAGCAATATACCCTAAGTTATAGTAGGAACCCTAAGATTTTTTTAAGGTATATTCCTTAATTAAGGGGTTTTGGAGTCTCTGGGGAGGCTTCGGCACTTTGAAGTTGAGGCTTGAGTTAACCGGGTTGCAGGAGCTCTGCGGCATGATCGCACTTGTTCAGGAAGGGGGGGTTTAGGGTTTAGGGTTTAGGGTTTAGGGTTTAGGGTTTAGGGTTTAGGGTTTAGGGTTTCGTTCTGACAGGACGAGGAGGCGCGCGACATCCGGGAAACCGAAGACGTCTTCGGAGCGAATCTGGAGGACATTGGGAGATGGAGCGCGGGTACTTCGCGAAAGGGCAAGGAATCAAGCAGAATCAAGCAAAGCGCTCCGAAACCAATCAGGGTCTATGGGGGGTAGGGGAGCCCCAACAACCCCAAACCCTAAACCCTAAACCCTAAACCTTAACCCTAAACCCTAAACCCTAAAGGATTTGCGCAGGAAGCTGCGCCCCTACGTGGTGGCTGAAAAAAGTACTGGCCCCTTTTGTCATCTGTACCCGAATTTACGCTCCCTAAATCCCAAACCCTAAACCATCAAGTTTCATTTGGAAGTAAGCTAAAGCCCTGAAGCAGTTTACAACCCCCACGCTCCAAACCCACCCTAAACCATATACCCTAAACCCCAAACCCCTGCGCACGCTCGATTTGGATGGTGAAGCGGCTCCTTCTTTCGGGCATCTTTCGGGCAATTGGGTTTTTCATAGCTGTTTTCAGCCGGGGGTTTACGAAAATAAGGGACCCCTAATACAGACCCCCAAATAGTAGCATTCCCGTCGAAGAAGGACCCCAAATAAGGTACCCATAATGTGAGAACCCTCATGTGGGGCTTAGAGACTTCTAAGGCTCGAGGTTTGGGGGTTTTGAGGGTGTTGCCTCTCATAGAGGCTGCGGAAACCGACAAGTGCGCGACCCCTGTCATGGCGGAGGCGAGGGGGCAATGCAAGATCCAACGCAGTGAGAGTTTGGAGTTTAGGGTTTAGGTTTAAGGTTTAGGGTATTAGTATCTGACTTGTTCTTGGTGACGTTGTACGGGGCTTGAGCGTTTCAAGAGCTCATGACTTCCGCGTTTGGAGGGTTTGTTGGTTTGTTGGTTGCTTGGCTGGTTGGTTGGTTGGTTGGTTGGTTGGTTGGTTGGTTGGTTGGTTGGTTGGTTGGTTGGTTGGTTGGTTGGTTGGTTGGTGTGTGTGTGTGTGTGTGTGAGCAGTCGAGTGTTCGTTTGGGACTTCAGTCGAATGCTGTAGGCCGGAATCAGCCCTAAACACAAGATCCTAAACCCTAAGCCCTAAACCCTAAACCCTAAAAACCCTAAACCCCCTAAGCCCCCTAAACCCTAAACCCTAATCCTGGTGCGCATTGCCCTTTCCGATTGGCAGGCACTGGCCACAGAGGATGCTGCACCAGAGGCCCGCAGACACTCTGTACGTGGGTTCTGTCAAAACATCCAAAGGGTTTAGGGTTTAGGGTTTAGGGTTTAGGGTTTAGGGTTTAGGGTTTAGGGTTTAGGGTTTGGGGTTCCCAGAATTGTGATACGTTGGAGACGCATTCACACAATGCTGGCGCCAGAGGCCTCCGATGATGATGCGCCTTCCGACGCCAGCTCGACGCATCTGGTTCTACAGTCTGTGGTGCAACAGGCCCTGTTTGTTGCATCACGCAACTTCCGTGGGTGTACTACTATTTGCTTAAGAACCCTCAAGAATATAAAACAATAATAATCTCTATATGCCCTATAAGCAATATATATATATATATATATATATATATATATATATTTTTTATTTTTTTGGGGGGGGGTTCTTAAGAAAATAGTAGTTTAGGGTTTAGGGTGCGGGGTTGAGTTGCATCACGGACCGGAGACATCCCGCAGGCTCCTTGCAAGCCGTCGATTCGACACTTTCCCAAGTTCGGGAGGTGTCCCCGAAGACAGCCCATGCAAGTTGAAAGAAAGAGGCCTTTTTGCAGGGACGGTCCCCCCTCCTCCTCCTCCTCCCCTCCCCCTACAAAAAAGTGCTGCCCTCATTTCTCGGAGGCCCCTCTCGAAGCTTATAAACCGACTATCGCAGGCGCAGACCCTCGAGAAGCACCGTGAAGGCATCCGCGGTGACCCCAAGCAGGAGGCGCCGAGAACCTCAGCGCCAAACCTGAAATCGCATACCTTAACTCTATAAACCCTACAGCAAAATTGGCAAAGTCGTGGCAAAGTTCCACAATATTCAGGACGCCGAGGGCCTGCCCGAGAACTTGCGCCCGCTCTCCGCAGAAACTCCAGCTGAGGCGGGGCAAGTGGGAGGGTAGCGCCTTTTGTTCGGAAGCTGCCAGCTAGGGTTCGGCCGGTCCACACTAACAGTCACCACCAGCAGACCCACAAATAAAAGCACCCGGTAAATGCCCAAAAATTGACTGGGATTCCTGCTTGTCCTGGTGCTTTTCCTGGAGCTATTTCTGGTGCTATTTTTTGTGCTATTCCTGGTGCTATTTCTGGTGCTATTTTTTGTGCTATTCCTGGTGCTATTTCTGGTGCTATTTTTTGTGCTATTGTTTGTGCTATTTCTGGTGCTATTTCTGGTGCTGTTTCTGGTGCTATGTGACTACCAGTCACCATCAGCAGACCCACAAAAACAGCACCCGGTAAATGCTAAGCTGCTAAAATTGACTGGGATTCCTGGTGCTATTTCTGGTGCTATTTTTTGTGCTATTCCTGGTGCTATTTCTGGTGCTATTTTTTGTGCTATTGTTTGTGCTATTTCTGGTGCTATTTCTGGTGCTATTTCTGTTGCTATGTGACTAGCAGTCACCACCAGCAGACCCACAAAAAGAAGCACCCGGTAAATGCTAAAATTGACTGGGATTCCTGGTGCTATTTTTGGCCTGTGTGTTATAAGGCCACGTCGTTATTTGACTGTTAGTGTGGACCGGCCGAACCCAACTGCCAGCTATAGATTTGCACCTTCAGAAGTCCGGAGCATGGGCTCTAAGTCAAGAATCCCCGAGAACCTCGGTCATGACAAGGCAGAAGACCCCGCAGAGCACTTCTGCCCCACATCTGCAGATCCTCCAGCGGAGGCCTCACGGCACGGGGGGAGCAGGGGAGGGGGAGGAGGGAGCTCCAACAATGCTGCACCTCGAACAGGCAAACAGCTACAGCGCCCTGCGAGCAGAAGCTGCAAGTAATGATGTTGAGGACGCCGAGGGAGCGCCCGAGAACTTGCGTCCGCTCGCAGAATCTCCGCCTGAGGCCGGGCAATTAAAAGGAAGGTGGCATTTTGAAACTCCATCTCTTGCGCAGAAGAAGTGCTAAGGTTTGCACCGTCAGAAGCCCTGAACACGCTTGCCTTGTGCATGCTACGCAAGTAGGTGACCCCCAAAATAGACCCCCCCAAATAGTCGGATTCCCATATATCAAGGGCGGCCCCACTATGGTACCCGCTAATAAAGCAAACCCCCCAGAAAGTACCTGCCCAGCGAAAGTCCTAGAGAACCTCGGCCACAACAAGAACAAGATGTTGAAAAGGTCGAGGATGCCGCAGACAACCTCTGTCCCACGTCTGCAGACGCTCCAGCAGAGGCCTCGCTGCGTCGGTGGGTGTGGGAGGATGGGACCATACGGGACCTTAAACCTGGAAACTGACGAGCAGAGGCGTCAAGTGGTGACCCCTAAAATAGACCCCCAAATAGCCGGATTCCCATATATCAAGGGCGGCCCCACTATATAGTACCTGCCCAGCGAAGAGTCCTAGAGAACCTCGGCCACAACAAGAACAAGATGTTGAAAAGGTCGAGGATGCCGCAGACAGCCTCTGTCCCACGTCTGCAGACGCTCCAGCAGAGGCCTCGCTGCGTCGGTGGGTGTGGGAGGATGGGACCATACGGGACCTTAAACCTGGAAACTGACGAGCAGAGGCGTCAAGTAATGATGTTGAGGACGCCGAGGGCGCACTCGAGAACCGTCCGCTCTCCGCAGACACTCCGGCTGAGGTTGGGCGATTGGGAGGAGTGTAACCGTACCCTTTTTTGCCCAGCAGCTGCGAACTAAGATTTGCATCTTCAGGTGCCCTGAACACGGTTGCTTTGTGTAGAAAACTCCCCAAGCCAAGAATTCTAGAGAACCTCGACCACGACACAACTTTGACAAGGCCGAGGACACCGAAGAGTGCCTCTGCGCTGCCACTGCAAATGCTCCAGCGCAGGCCTCACGGCATTGGAGAAGGGCAGGGGGAGGAGGGGGCTCCACCAAAGCTGCACCTCGAGCCTGCAAACTGCTAGCATCCAGCGAGCAGAAGCTGCAAGTAATGATGTTGAGGACGCCGAGGGTGCGCCCGAGAACTTGCGCCCGTTTGCAGAATCTCCGCCTGAGGCCGGGCAGTTAACAGGAAGGTTGCATTGTTGTAACTCCATCTCTTGCGCAGAAGAAGTGCTAAGATTTGCACCGTCAGAAGCCCTGAGCACGCTTGCCTTGCGCATGCTACGCAAGTAGTTGACCCCCAAAATAGACCCCCAAATAGTCGGATTCCCATATATCAAGGGCGGCCCCACTATGGTACCCCCTAATACCGCAAACCCCCCATATAGTACCTGCCCAGCGAAGAGTCCTAGAGAACCTCGGCCACAACAAGAACAAGATGTTGAAAAGGTCGAGGATGCCGCAGACAACCTATGTCCCACGTCTGCAGACGCTCCAGCAGAGGCCTCGTTGCGTCGATGGGAGTGGGAGGATGGGACCATACGGGACCTTAAACCTGGAAACTGACGAGCAGAGGCGTCAAGTAATGATGTTGAGGACGCCGAGGGCGCGCTCGAGAACCGTCCGCTCTCCGCAGACACTCCGGCTGAGGTTGGGCGATTGAGAGGAGTGTAACCGTACCCTTTTTTGCCCAGCAGCTGCGAACTAAGATTTGCATCTTCAGGTGCCCTGAACACGCTTGCTTTGTGTAGAAAACTCCCCAAGCCAAGAATTCTAGAGAACCTCGACCACGAAGCAACTTTGACAAGGCCGAGGACACCGCAGAGTGCCTCTGCGCTACCACTGCAAATGCTCCAGCGCAGGCCTCACGGCATTGGAGAAGGGGAGGGGGAGGAGGGGGCTCCACCAAAGCTGCACCTCGAGCCTGCAAACCCCTAGCACCCAGCGAGCAGAGGCCTAGTAGTAGAGCAGGTAACCTTTAACCTTTTGGGGTAGTATAACCCCCCTTTAATCCCAAAGGTTAACCTGTAGTTCCCCCAGGTTTCTGCAATTTTATCACTTTATTAGTTTAGGGTTCCTCTAAATGTCATACCAAGGGAGCTGAAAGTTCAACTATTATTGGGGGGTTAAAGAGCAACCAAGTAACGATGTTGAGGATGCCGAGGGCGCGTCCGAGAACTTGCGTCCGCCCGCAGAATCTCCGCCTGAGGCCGGGGAGTTGAGAATGCTCCTGACAGGTCTGTGGAGAGTGCCCTAAACCCTAAACCCTAAACCCTAAACCCTAAACCCTAAACCCTAAACCCTAAACCCTAAACCCTAAACCCTAAACCCTAAACCCTAAACCCTAAACCCTAAACCCTAAACCCTAAACCCTAAACCCTAAACCCTAAGCCGAGATTGTTCAAGCATAAACGGGCTCCACTCCGCCCCCAACGGTGTCTACGGGCTTTTAGGATCCAATCCAGCTGCAATTGGCAACATGGTTTGCATGGCCCCACCATGACACGAGCTAATGTGACAAAGGGGTGGGTTTTAGGGTTCAGGGTTTAGGGTGTAGGGTTGAGAGCAGCAGTGACCTCACAGTCCCGTGGAGGGGAGGCATGTAGCTGGCCAGCGCCACGGGTTTGGGCTTACAAATATCTATATCTATATCTATATCTATATCCAAAACAAATATCTATATCTATATCTAATCTATATCTATATCTATATGTATATATGTATATATATATATACCATTATTAATAGACACTAGAATTTTCACGTATAGTATATTTTGTATGTACCGTCTAGCATATATTATATATTGTACATCTTGTATTATATAATGCCCCAAAACTGTCCTCAACCCGAAACCCTAAACCCTAAACCCACCAGAAACGGTGCACAGGGTTGTTATAAAAAAAAAAAAAACCGAAACCCGAAACCCTAACCCCCCCCCCCCCCCCCCCCCACCCCTCTAAGGAGCCCTCGAAGCCCTCCTCGGAGAGCCGGTGGGAGCGGATGGCCCGGGACATGCGCAAGGACGGTTTAGGGTTTAGGGTTTAGGGTTTAGGGTTTACGGTTTAGGGTGGGCTTGACCCCAAGTCTAAGCCCTGTATGGGTACGTGGTTCAGGGTCTAGGGCATCGAGAACGCCTGACGGCGAATCAGTGGCCGCTCCCTGACGTTGTTTGCAGATGCTTTGAGTCGGTATGGGGCGTGATGAGCGACATTTCCCCCTTAACATGCTCCAATTTTGGCCCTTGTTATTCCCTTACGGATCCTGAAAAGGGACCCCAAAACCCAAGGGTACAGCCTTAAGGGTCCAAGGTAGAACCCCATATAGAAAAACTCGGCTGCGGGAGGAAGGGCGGAGGGGGGCAGGCATGGTCATAGGGTTCATAGGGTGTATAGGCCTTTAAAGGCTTTATCGGGTTTACAGGGTGTATGAAAGCATGACAGCTTGAGTAGTGAATGCTCGGACTTCAAAGACTGAACCCTAAGCCCAAAACCCGATCTTCAAGCCCAAAATGTTCAAGAAGAATTCGGGTACTGGAGGAGGGGAGGGGGGGTGCGGAGTGGGCAGAGGGGACGGGGAACCGAAAGGGGGGGGGGGTGGCGAACCACCTGCCAATAATGCTCGCCAGAGGGGGGGGGGGGGGATACGTTGGGTGAAAAGGGTCGGCGGAATGAGCTGACCCGGCCCAGTCATCCCGTGACGGAGAATCCGCAGCGTCAGGATCGGACGAATTGTGTCATAGTGGTCTTGACCACGGCCCCATGAGAAAGCGGCCGATGTAAGATTGTGGGTACCTCCCAAAACGGGACCTTCATTTCCTAACCCAACCGTTTTGGTGCGCCTAGGATGGAATCCGCTTAACCAGCAGAGCCCCGACTAAGTTATGGCATTGCTGTGTATTCCTCGTAGTTTGGGGCGCCACAGTAGGAGGGTCGTGGTTACTTAGAAGTTGGCCAGGTCTCTAGGTAAAGGTCCCTATGTGCGCGCCGGCCCCTTGTATACAGTGCACCCCCCAAAAGAATTTGGGAGGACACATGACCCAACGATTGGGCCTGTTTGTAGCGCAGGCGCCTGTAACCCCCAAAGCTAGGATACGCCGCCGCAGCCAGCGCTGGGGCAGGTGGCTGCAGAACCAGAGGCGCCCATCTGCATTTGTGGGTAGAAGGGTCAGTTCCCCAAGTCATGTGTTTGGTTGGAACCCATCGTCCTTTGGTGTACCCCAAAGGGGATCACAACTTAGAGAGCTGGTCATGTAGGTTCAGAGATGTTCAACAGGTGTGGGGTTAGGTTTCAACGTTCCGCTGGCTTCTAGTCAACGTGTCGCCCATGGGGCATAATCACCGGGGGTACCTAGTCGGGTTGCAGCAGGGATCCAAGCTTTCAGACCACTGAGGCTGCTTTGGTCCTTAAATCCACCGATGCCCGAAGCAGCGGCCCGACAACGACGCTGTAGCGAACCTTTGCCTGCTCTGCACAACCTGGCCAGCGACACTCACAAATTGAGCGCTGTGCGATGAGGACCATGCCGAAGCAGACTGTCAGTCGAGCACAAGCAGCTCTGATCTACAAGCTGCAATGCTGGAGGCGCCTAAAGCTTTCTGAAGCCAAAAGGATTCTGCACGGGAATCCCATCGGAGCTCCCAGTCTCCCCCCCCTGAAAATTTCTCCCCCCTGTTCGAAGCCTGTATTAGATAACGATCCTTGATCCTTCAAGTAGCCCCCTCATCGGCTTGCTTATACGTGGCTTACTTGTGCGTGGCTTAGGGGTGCTTAGGGCTTAGTGTTGCGGTCCATCACCCACCGAAGCAGGCTGACATATGCAATATAGATATGTGCATGTATATTATACTGTGTACGTATGTATGTGTATATATATATATATATATATTACATATGCTACCCCAAAAAAGCGCACGTTTTATATTGTTTTATATATGCAAAGACAGTACAAGTTTCGTAATTTTCTTGCTGCGCAGACATCGCGAGGAGTCCCTGCAGGTGGCCGTTTTTCCTCACAGTGTAGCAGAACCTTCGAGAATAACATGAGCAAATATCTTGGAACGCTTTATAGTGATAAGCAAAAAAGGACAGCTTCTGGGACACTCATGTGCGCTTGTTCTTCTAACTTTCAGTGTTAAAGACACTTAAACTCATTCGACCATGCTTGCAAAGGATCGCAATGTATTTTGTTGAGGTATTTTAACTTACCAGAAATTGAGCGAGTTCAATGAACTAGGTATAATTAAATTACCATCCTGAAGGAATAATTGAGTGAATTCAATGGTCCAAATTCATCAAGCTACGGCCCTTAAAGAATCATTGAGCGAATTTGATTAATTGAACTTCATACTTAAATGGAATAGCTCAGTCATGTTCAAAGGTAAAACAATTCCATCTGCTTAAATACTTTGAAGCAACTATATCACGATCCTTAAGTTAACAAACCCATAGTTGCACGAAATGAACGATGTTTTAAAGACCGCAAATTAGTCAGTTCACATTCATACCTAACCCTTCGGTTCATGAATTAAACTTGTTAATGCTACTCACTAACTAAAACATGCTTATTGGGAAGCCTGATCTAAGAATTTCAGTTAAGCGTTACTCAAAATATCTAAGCTAATCTCATAATCAGTAAAGTACGTCGTTTCACCAATGTGTTTGAAACAGTAATTTGCGCAGTTCATGTACTGAAGAGTTCATTAAACATATTAAGTTATAATCCCTGAACCAACTGACTTCCATGAACAAAAGTGAAATTATAAATTAGCTGAACTACGGCTCTTCAACCATGACTGAGTTAGTCCAGTGAGTTTAACTGAAAGGAATAGTTAAATACATTGAACTACTAACTGGTTCCTGTAATGCAAACAAAGATGGACGGTCCCAACTTTATAGGCGTAGAGGTGCACAGATGTCTTACTGTCCCAAGTTTATCAGGCTCGGAGCAGCGAAAACACTGGCCTGTCCTAACCTTTTCAGGTCTACAGGCGCAACAACGCCGTACTGGCCCAACCTTTAGCACGGAGGTGCAAAAATGCTGCACCGCCCCAAAAACTCAAAAATCAAAACTCTTTTTTTGAGGGCCTCCAGAGCTGAAAGCCAAAAAGATTGGGACAGTCCAGCGTTTTTTGCACTGTCCCAAAACCCATCGTCGTATCGGATGGTCAGAAGCTGCCGGAAAGGCAGAAGTTAACTTCTCTCAAAGCCCTCAGCCAAGAGCATGAAAGTTTATGGTCTGTCCCAAAAACTGAGAAAACTGAGTCTCTCCGGACCTGGAGCCAAGAAGATCGGGACAGTCCAACGATGCTAGGGTTTAGGGTTTAGGGTTAGGGTTTAGGGTTTAGGGTTTAGGGGTTAGGGGTTAGGGGTTTAGGGTTTAGGGTTTAGGGTTAAAGCTGGACTGTCCCAACGTGTTTTGTTGGGGACGCATTTGCAAAACTGCCGGACTGTCCCCAGTTTTTGGGTTTTCCAGGCCTGGGGACGCTCAAAAGAAATATTTTTTTATTTCTTGGGACAGTCCTAAGAATTCTTTTTATTTCTTGGGACAGTCCTACGTTTTTGCACATCTGAACCCCCAAAAGGTTGGGGCAGTCCAGCATTTTTGCACCTCTAGACCCAAATAGATTGGAACCGTACAGGATTTTTGCACTACTTGAGCCAAAAAGATTGGGACAGTCCATCGTTCTTGGCTCCAGCAATGCAAAAATGCTTGACCATCCCACTCAGTCTTGGTATGGATGCGCAAAAAAACGCTGGACTGTCCCATTCGTGTTTGGGCTTTCATCTCTGGAGGCCCTCAAAAGATTTTTGGTTTTTGTTTTTTTGGGACGGTGCAGCGTTTTGGCACCTCCGTCCTCAAAAGGTTGGGCCAGTACAGCGGTTTTGCACCTGTAGACCTGAGAAGATTGGGACAGTCCAGCGTTTTTGCACCTCAAGGCCTGGACAAGTTGGGACAGTACAGCACTTCACGTCCTTCAGGTGCCTAAACGCTGGAATGCCCCGGTTTTTCTTTGGGACGGATGTGCAAAAGCGCTGGACAGTCCCAATGTTTTTGGTCTTTCAGCTCCGGAGACCCTCAAAAGATTGCTCCCCACCCTCGGTGTGGGGTTGTTAGATTTTAAACTCAACTCTTCTCCTCACCCGGTCTACTTCTCCTCGCTCGGTCTACTTCTCCTTGCCCGGTCTACTCCTCGCCCAACCCCAGGGTGCCCAACCCCAGAGCGTGCCTGGAGTGCCCAACCCCCAAACTGTCCCTGGAGTGCCCAACCTAGAGTGCCCTGGAGTGCCCAACCAGGGTGTCCCGCCCAGAGACTCTAAAACCCCTTAATTAAGGAATATCCCTTAAATCATATTAGGGTTCCTACTATAATTCAAGGTATATTGCTTAATTAAGGGGTTCTGGGGGCCTGGAGTACCCAGTGAAGGGGATGTTCGAATAAAAACACATTGTGTTTTTGAGTGTTGGGACGGCGCGGGCGTTTTTGCACCTCTGTCCTCAAATGGCTAGGGCAGCACAGCGTTTCGGCCTCCCAGACTCTCCTTGAGACAGTAAAGAGTTTTTGGCCTCCCAGCCCCTTCTCAAACGCTGAGCTTCTAAATTGTAGGAGTGAAGTTTCTATGGGCCCACAAAAGCACAAAGGTGTGGGCACATGGGGGGGGGTACCATTTTAAATATATGTTTACATATCTATATATATATATATTTATGATCGTATGATATGATATGATATGATATGATATGTACACACAGATATGTACATATATATATATGTGTGTAGGAAGCTCCCCTTTGGGTCAGGCCTTCCTGAAGGCTCCACCCGAAGAACTTCATGGATCCTGGAGAGGCGGGCCTATGAGCTCAGAGCTTCGCAATTCGGAAGCCCTTGGTTTCGGATCAAGAATTTTAGGGTTTAGGGTTTAGGGTTTAGGGTTTAGGGGTTTAGGGGTTTAGGGGTTTAGGGGTTTAGGGGTTTAGGGGTTTAGGGGTTTAGGGTTTGGGGTTGTTTTGTGGGCTCCTGTCAGGAGAAGAAATCGATGGCTTTGGGGTATACATATGGGGTACCCCCTATGTTGGAAGTCGCCTTGCAGCCGCAGGGCTGAACAAGCTCATAAAGTTGATGCAAACGCGCAGGACTTGCTGGCTTCGGGTCTGTGTTGAGGGTCTTCAAGATTTCAGTAGGCCGCTTTTTTCTCCCCAATATGCCGGAGCTTGAAATTCTGCACGAACCCTAAACTAAACCCTTCAGCGCAACCCTGTCTCAAGCTTTGCAGGCGACAGCGTCTCTCCTCGCAGCAGGCCCATCTCCAACACCCTGCAAGAGCTAGCACCACAGAATCTGCCGTACCTGGCTGTGCTTAGGATCAAAAAACCCTAAACCCTAAATCCTAAGCACCAATACCTAAGGCCTCAAGGTATAGAAAGTGGTGAAAGCAAACATCGTTCTGCGAACAACTAGTGCCAGCATCTACCTACTACCTCTCCATGAAGCAGGAACTGTGTTGCAAGTCGTGGCACCACCCTCAAACCCTAAACCCTAAACCCTAAATCCTTATTCTCCATTTGTAGGCACTGGCTGCCCTCGTAATCCCTTCTAGGCATCCGTTTCCCATTGCTAGAATCACCGCAAGACTCTCTCAGTCCTAACTCTGTCTTCTCTTGCATCCCCAAGGGTTAGGATTTAGGGTTTAGGGCTTAGGGTTTAGGGCTTAGGGTTAGGGTTTAGGATTTAGGGTTTAGGGCTTCAGAAGTGCGAAGGCCAAACTAGGCCTTGGAGTTTGGTCGTCAAGTGCTTGGAGATGTTTGGAGTCTCGAGTCGAGGGGGCTGGGACCCAGAGTCGGCCCTTGTTCCATTCTGTAAGGGTTTGGGAGTTCCCTGATAAGCCCCTTTAAACCTTTGTGGTGCTTTACTGTAAATTTACATCCTCAGCCTTTTTGGGTTTATTGGGTTTCTTCATAAGGCAGCTAAAATTAAATTTATACCGACCCTGCTAAGTGCAGGGTCGGAAACAAAAAAGGTACCCGTTTTATTCCTAGGTGACTCCTGGGTCTAAGGGGGGTGTCGGGTGTCATAGCCGGCAAAAGTCCTGGAGCAGCGCAAGCCGGGGTAGCCCGAGGAAAGTTCATCGCAACACGTGCTCGAAACCCTAAAAACCCTAAAACCCTAAAAACCCTAAAACCCTAAAAACCCTAAAACCCTAAAAACCCTAAACCCTAAACCCGAAACCGCTCCGTTCCTGATGCTCAAAGCCCTGATTTAGGATTGCCTGAGGCTCTCGAGCCCAAACCCGATTCCCTTTTCAGACCTTCTAGACATGCTCTATTGGAGGGCGCAGTCGGCGAAGCTCTGGCACCACATCAGGCAAACGAAGCTGGGGTCCTTTGTGGATTCAGGGATTGAGGCGGGTTGAGCGTTGAGGGTGTTGGGGCTTCAGGGATTCAAGGGGCTTGCCTCGAGTTCAGGGCTTCAGGGTAGGGTTTAGGGCTTATGGACGTCGGCGGGAACTTGAGCGGAGCTGTTGTTAAGGCTGGGAAATGGCAGTGTTTGGCTTCTCGGGATATCACGCAGGGAGTTGGCTGGGACACCTCAAGTTTGGTGGTTGGGAATACCCCAAGTTTGGCGATCCTCGGTAAAGTCGCAAGTATGTGTTCGACATTGGACTCGTATGGGCAGTTCTCTAAGTTAGGGTGCCTTTTGGGGAGTCCTTTTCTTTTTCAGGTGCAGTACTACATACGAGAACCAATGCCAAGAAGGCACCCTAGTTTATAGAACTACGAAAGTATGTTCGTTTCATCCCCCGCTCGCTAAGTTACTGTTAGGATGCACAGTTCCTTGTCGACTTTCGGGTTTCGGCCGAAGTTTAGGGTTTAGGGTTTAGGGTTTAGGGTTTAGGACTCAGGGTATCGGGCTCAGGGTTTACCCTAAACCCTAAACCCTAAACCCTAAACCCTAAACCCTAAACCCTAAACCCTAAACCCTAAACCCTAAACCCTAAACCCTAAACCCTAAACCCTAAACCCTAAACCCTAAACCCTAAACCCTAAACCCTAAACCCTAAACCTAACCCTAAACCCTAAACCCTAAACCCTAAACCCTAAACCCTAAACCCTAAACCCTAAACCCTAAACCCTAAACCCTAAACCCTAAACCCTAAGTTTAGTTCTAGGGTTCAAGGGATGGCCGCTGTTCGGACTGGTCGCGAGCCAGGTCGAATCCGCTGCCGCCACCGAACCCGGAGGACAACTGGGAGCTCTCTTCCCAGGCGCTGGGGTTCAGGCGTTCAGGGTTTAAGGGTTTTAGGGTTTCAGGGTTTAAGGGTTTCAGGGTTTAAGGGTTTAAGGGTTTAAGGGTTTAAGGGTGTAAGGGTTTCAGGGTTTCAGGGTTTTAGGGTTTTAGGGTTTTAGGGTTTAGGAGTTTAGGGTTTAGGGGTAGGGCTTCGGGCTTAGGGTTGTTGTCGTAGCAGGCGGGCTTTGGTGGATTTGTCTGGGCGAGCTGAGCTTCGTTTCCCAAGTTCCTTGCCCCTAAGCCCTCGACCCTAAACCGGTCAGAAATTTTAGTGATGTAGGGGTTTAGTCCAAGAAATATTCAACATACCCTTAGGGCATACCCCTGAAAAGAACTTAAGGGTATGGTAAAATCCTCCCTTAGACTCCCTTATCTTCTCCTCTCATATAGGTTATTGGGTATGGATTTGGGTCATGGTGAATGTTTCTTAGGTTTAGGGTTCAGGTTAGGGCTTAGGGCTTAGGGCTTAGGGCTTAGGGCTTAGGGTGGAGGGTTTAGGGTTTAGGGTTTAGGGTTCAGGGTTTAGGGTTTAGGGTTTAGGGTTTAGGGTTTAGGGTTTAGGGTTTAGGGTTTAGGGTGCAGGCATCATGGCAGTTGAAGGTTGGAGTGGTCAAGAACTTCGGGGCTGTGAGCTGTTAGGTCTTGACAGGTCAGAGATATTTTTGGGAGGCTCTTCTTGTTTCACCTCCCCTTTGGGAACTCTCCCTCCCTAAAGCAACGGAGCGTGTAGGCATTGTTTTGTGTTCAAGAAGAACAGGCACTTAGCGGCCCAGGGTGGGGAAAGCATCCGTTAGCGGCCCCTTTTTAACCCTAAACCCTCTATAAGCCCTCCAAACCCTCTAATGGCCCTCTAAACCCTCTAAGCCCTCTACGCCCTCTAAACCCTCCCCTGGACCCGAGGAAAAGGCCTCCCAATCCTCTCCTACACCCTACACCGTCAGTCCCCGGCCTTGCTAGTGCTCTCAGTGCCCGTATGCTCGCATGGGCATCAGGGTTTAGGGTTCAGGGTTCGGGGTTCAGGGTTTATAGGGTTTAGTAATTAGGGTTGGGTTCGGGTTTAGGGTTCAGGGTTTCGGGTTCAGGGTTCGGGGTTTCGTTAGATTAGTAATGAGGGTTTGGGGGCTGTTTGCCGACCAGGGCGACTTAGACATGGACGAGGACTCCGCTGCGGACGGCCTTCGGGTCTCAACGCCGTAAACCACAGGGTCTGGAGTTCAGCGTTTAAGGTTCAGGGTTTAGGGTTTAAGTAGGATTTAGGGTTTTATTGTTTAGGGTTTATGAGGTCCATAAGGTTTAGGGTTGTGGGTTGGATTTAGGGTTCAGGGTTCAGGGTTGAGGTTAAAGGTTCGGGGTTCGGGGTTTCGGGTTTATAGGGTTTAAAGTTTCGGGTGTCCGCAAACTTAAATCCCTAACTCCAAACCTCGCCCGACCTCCTGCAGACACCCACGAGGATGCAGACTCGTGATGCCCCCCTAAACCCTAAACCCTAAACCCTAAACCCTAAACCCTAAGCCCTAAGCCCTAAGCCCTAGGCCCTAGGCCCTAAGCCCTAAGCCCTAAGCCCTAAGCGTAAACCCTAAACCCTAAACCCGAAGCAATAAGCCCTAAACCCTGAATCCTAAACCTTAAACTTAAACCCTAAACCCTAACCCCCTTTACACCGTAAATCCTGAAGCCGTATGGCTCTAAATCCTGAAGGCCTAAACCGCAAGCCCCTGTATAATCGAGCTCCGCATTGTGGCTCTTTTTTGGCACCTCCCAATATAGAACTACTTAAAGCAAAGGAATCCCCAAAAGGGACCCGAATTCAGAGAACCGTACCTCAAACATCAAACCCCTAAATCAAACCCACCCCTGACCCCTGAACCCCTGAACCCCTGAACCCCTGAACCGCTGAACCGCTGAACTCCTGAACCCCTGAACCCCTGAACCCCTGAACCCCTGAACCCCTGAACCCCTGAACCCCTGAACCCCTGACCTCCTGAACCCCTGAACCCCTGAACCCCTGAACCCCTGAACCCCCATGAACCCCTGAACCCCTGAACCCCATGAACCCCTGAACCCCTGAACCCCATGAACCCCTGAACCCCTGAACCCCTGAACCCCATGAACCCCCTGAAATCCTGAACCCCTGAACCCCTGAACCCCCTGAACCCCTGAACCCCATGAACCCCTGAACCCCTGAACCCTAGACCTTGAAACCCTAAACTTTGTCGTAGTTGGGTAACATTTTACATTTTTAAGGGTACTTAAACCCAATAAGGAATATCATTCTAAAATTTTAATACTATCCCAACCATGAACTAGTAAACCCTGCGGAGGAGGAGCGTGAGCTCCACTTGATGAAGCTGCGAGAAGCGAAGCGTAGTCCGAGGCTGGCGTTCGTGCTTGGGGGATAAGTGTTTAGGGTTTAGGGTTTAGGGTTTAGGGTTTAGGGTTCAGGGTTTAGGGTTTAGGGTTTAGGGTTTAGGGTTTAGGGTTTAGGGGTTTAGGGGTTTAGGGTTTAGGTCAAGGACACCTGTTTGCGGTTGGGGATGGACGAAGTCGTGCTTTCGAGGCAAGAGGGCGTGAATAAGCAAGAATAAAAGGCTAAGGTTCCAGGAGTTGTAGCTCTTTGCTACGATTGGGGTTGCAAGGTATTTAAGAACATGACCTTACCTGTAACCCCATCATAGCTACTCGTGTGCTTTGTGGCTTTGAGATGTCTTGACGCGTTTTAGGTTTCCCGGTTTCAGGGATTTTGTGGGATGAGGGCTGAGGGCCTTGAGGATATTGCAGGGGTTTTATCGAAGTTGCCTGGGCTTGTATACCCAGCCTTCTCACTTTCTGCAAAACGTGTGCTTTGCCCCCAAGCCCCAAGCCCCAAGCTCTAAACCCTAAACCCCAAACCCTAAACCCTAAGCCCTAAGCCCTAAACCCCACCCGAACTCCAAGCTCCAATTCACCATGCCGCAGCTGAGAGCAGGTGGTGCAAAAACTGCGAGGACCTTGTACTGATGCAGAGGGACTGGGATCCAGACCAGGTATTCGGCGCACGAGCGGCTCGGCTGCGAAGATCAGCATCTGCTCTAAGATCATTGCCACCCAAGGGTGGCTCGTAAAAGAACATCTGCCTCGTTCCTATAGCAACCCGAAGCCCTTCACCCTAAACCCTAAACCCCAAATCCTAAACCCTAAATCCTAAACCCCAAATCCTAAACCCTAAACCCCAAACCCTAAACCCTAAACCCTAAACCCTAAACCTAAACCGCAACTCGATGGTCTGGAGCCTGGCATCTGCATCCCAGAACCTTCCATCCCTGCCCCTGCTAACCCCCAAAAAAACGCAGAGCACCGAACAGGCTTCCTTGTGGCACTTCCTAAACCCTAAACCCTAAACCCTAAACCCTAAACCCTAAACCCTAAACCCTAAACCCTAAACCCTAAACCCAAAAAAAATGTTGCATCCTGTCATTTGCGGGGCGGAGTCGGGCAAGGTTGAGAGCTTTGGGCTTGAGAGGGATGCATGATGCTTTGAGGTTTAGGGTTTAGGGTTTAGGGTTTCGGTTCAACTTCTTGCAACGAACCTACACCCGAAAGCCGCAACCCGGCAACAGAAACGCAGCAATGCCGACAAGGCTTTGCAAGTGGTTGTGAGTTGTCTGGTCGCCCCCTACACCCCCTCCTGAAACCATCACCCCCACCCATCACCCTAAACCCTAAAGCCAAAAGCCGCAAACTGAGTTGTGGTGCTTCAGGGTTTTGGGAGCTTAGTTGGGTTGCTGGGCTTGGTGCCTCAGCGTCAAAGGGCCAGGGCTGAATCGGGGGGGTTTTATAGGTTTTTTTTTTTTGGATAGGCGGCTCTGCAAGCAGAATCTAAACCCTAAGCCCTAAACCCTAGACCCTAAAAACCATGGCAGGGCCCGAAATCGGCGTTCCTAGCAAAGGGCCCCACCCTTTTTTGGACGCTCGCATGAAGCTCTGGAAGACTTCTCCCCCAAAAGGGCCCAACGACGTTCATCCGAAGTTCCTGAACCTTAAGTTGTTGACCCTAAACCCTAAACCCCAAACCCTGAACCCTGAACCCTAAACCCCTGCCATGTCCTACCAGTGACCAGTTCTGATGACAGGTCCCCGAATGCAACCTCGAGCAGGCTCGACCTTTCAGGGTTTGGGGGTTTAGGGTTTAGGGTTTTGTGTTAGGTGTTTGGGGTTAGGGGTTTGGGGTTTAGGGTTTAGAGTTTCGAAACCCTAGCCCCATATATTCCCGAAATCCAAGCCTCAACCCCGAACTACACTACACCCAGCACCCTAGGATCCCCCCCCCCCCCTGCACGCCGAATCTCTCTACGCATGCTGCAGTGCCCCTTAGTTTTCTTCAAGACGGTCGTAGCCCAGAAGCATGTTGAGGTTTTACAGGTTTGGAGCTTAGTCCAAACACCCATGAACCCCCTAAACCCTAAACCCTAATCCCTAATCCCTAAACCCTTTATGGGGTTAAGTTTAGGGTTTAGGGTTCAGGGTGCTGCAAGATGGCAAAATGACCACCCTTGACAGCTGTGTGCCTTGCGACTGTTTGGGAAAGCGTGCCTGGAGGGCACCCGACTTTACGGGTGCTGCGCTTAGGATTGAAGGGTTAGGGGCTTAGGGGTTTAGGGGATGAGGGGTTTAGGGGTTTAGGGTTTGGGGGCTGAGGGTGTGACACTTAGGTTAGGTGGTGATCGGGATCGTGGCCGGGGTGCTGTCAACGAAACGGTTTTGCGTGTCAACGGCCACGCGCTTGCGTGTTATCGTGCTGGTGGTGTGCAGCTGCTCTGCTAGACTGCAGTGCAGCCCACAAACCCTTTCAACCCTGAAGCCCTGAGACGCTGAAGCCCCAAAGCAACACCCTTGCAGCCTAAGCCCTAAATCAAGCCTAAACCATCAACCCTCAACCCTAAACCCTAAACCCTAAACCCCAAACCCTAAACCCTACCACTCCCCGCAGATCTTGCCGGACAAGCTGTACCTCGAGCAGAAGACGCATCGCTCGTACAAGAAGCGAAGACGGCCCGGGAGCTCGGCATGCATCACACTAAACCCTAAACCCCAAACACTAAACCCTAAATCCTAAATCCTAAACCATATACATACATATATACATATATATATATACGTATGTATAGGTATAGTAAAGTATGTAAATAAGTAAACGAATAAGTATTACAAGTGTATATATACATATATGTATACACATACGTACGTACGTACGTACATACATACATACATACACCCCCCCCCCCCCTTTTCCCTTGGATATGCGAGAATCCACAGCCTTATCTTTCACCCTACCTTGCCAGGCTTCCACCCGGTCTAGGGTTTAGGGTTTAGGGTTTAGGGTTTAGGGTTTAGGGTCTAGGGTCTGCTGGAAAGTCACGGGCTGGAAAAACCTGGACTAAGGGGCGTTTTAGGGTTTAGCGTCTAGGGTTCAGTGTGCAGAATGCAAGCATATTTTATTACTATAACCAGGTCCTGTTTTCGAAGTGCAGCGCAGCACAGCCCTCTGTATACAAAGAGCACCAAGTGTCGCTAAACCCTAAACCCTCGACACAACTCTTAAACCCTAGACCCTAGACCCTAAACCCTAACCCCTAAACTCTAAACCCTGAACCCTAAACCCTAACCCTAAACCCTAAACCTCAGGTCGTCTGGGAACTGGGCGAAGGACGGCTTGAAGGATGAAGAAGCCAGAGAGTACCGGGAACAGATGGGCCACCGAAAGGCCGCCACCGGCTGTGGTTTTGAGGGGTTTAGGGTTTAGGGGTTGGGGGGTTTAGGGTTTAGGGTTTAGGGTTTAGGGTTTAGGGTTTAGGGTTTAGGGTTTAGGGTTTAGGGTTTAGGGTTTAGGGTGTTAGCGTTCAGGCTTTTCTGGTTTAGGGTTTAGGCGCTTGCGGGTTGGTGGGGTATGCAGCCTAGGGGTTTGGCTCCAATGGTGGCAGCTGAATACTGCTTCGAACGCAGACGCAGTTCAAGGAACCGGTGTCTAGGGTTTAGGGTTTAGGGTTTAGGGTTCAGGGTTTAGGGTTTAGGGTTTAGGGTTTAGTCTCCACTTGGAACAGATGGGTTGCGACTTTCAGTTCTCCGGGCGTGTGGGGTTGGGAGTAGGAGCCCTAAACCCTAAACCCTAAACCCTAAACCCCAAACCCTAAACCCTAAACCCTAAACCCTAAACCCTAATCCTGAACCCTAAACCCTAAACCCTCAACCCTAAACCCTGAACCCTAAACCCTAAACCGCTCTCAGGCTTGGCTGCTAGATGTGGAGGCGCTCTCCTCAGCAGCCCGCTCGCGCCAGGAAGGCTGGGGGCACCCTGGAAGCTGCAACCTCACATCGCCCAAAAGAAGTGGGTTTAGGGTTTAGGGCTTTAGGGTTTAGGGTTTAGGGTTTGGGGTTTAGGGTTTAGGGTTTAGGGTTCACGGTGCAGGGTTCAGGGTTTAGGGTTTAGGGGTCGTTGGGATGTTCCCCCCTTTTACTAACAGTCCTGAACAGGGATAAAAATGGGGGGGTACCAGAATGCCTATTTCGGACTGTTAGTATAAGGGGGAACATCCCAACCTCTCACGGTTTAGGGTTTGGGGAGCCCGCTCTGCGAAAAAAACACTTGTGTAGTGGAAACTGGCCGCGGAGACAAGCAACTTATCCTGAGAGAGCGCAGTTGGAGTTTGGGCTGTGTGAGGGGTAGGTTTGAACAGAGGTTTTGTTCTACTGCCCCTATTCCCTTCCTTTCATCCTGATAAAAACATACAGTAAACTCCAGAAAGTTGGAACATGGTTTAAGGATGATTAGAGCTGGGATTCCCTTCAGTATACCTTTTTGGGGTATAGGGAGAAGAATGTTCCAACTTTTTAGGGTTTACTGTAAAATGTCATTGTTTAGCCCCCCCCCCCCCAGCCGAAGCAACTCCTGCAGGCGCCTTCAAGGGCCAAGAAGAGGATCTCTCGACAGCTGTGCCCGAAGGCGGGGGCACCTGGTAGCTGGGTTATTTCGGGTTTGGGGGTTTGGGGTTTGCCCTAAACCCTAAACCCTAAACCCTAAACCCTAAACCCTAAACCCTAAACCCTAAACCCTAAACCCTAAACCCTAAACCCTAAACCCTAAACCTTTGGGGTTTGGGGTTTGGGTTTTCATTGCGTATTCAAGCGTGCTTTCGCAGTGGCACGGGGAGGGGTCTGCTGCCACCTTGCCTTCCAAGATGTGAGTCCTCAACCCCCATCAGCCTAAGCCGCTAAGCCCCGCACTCTCTGATGAATTAGGTTTAGGGTTCAGGGCTCAGGGTTCAGGGTTTAGGGCTTAGGGTTTAGGATCTCAAGCCCTGCTGCACACGTGTGCCAGCACCAAGGCCCTCGAGGAGAAGTGCTTTCAGCCCCCCCTCAACTTCAAACCTAAGCCCTATAAACCCTAAGCTGGCGCAGCAGATGCGCGTGAGCCGTCCGACCACCCCCCGCCCGCACCCCCCCACCCCCCCGCTATTGGCTGCGACGAAGAATTCGCTGCCCCAGTCGCCCACGAGCTCTACAATCATCACTGCTGCTGGGGGCGGCGAACCATCTTGCCGTGCTGGAGGGCTTGGCGATAGTCGATAGTGCTCAATAATCCCAGGGATGGTGGACCGTCCATCACGTGTCTTACGGGCTGGTTGTGCAAGTTGATCGACCAGGAGTGGAAGGGAATGGTTGCGACTTGTGATCAGCATAGTTCGGACTTAGGAGCTAGGACCAACTAAGAAGGGTTCAAGACCTCTGACACCGATCTCAGCCCTAAATCTCAGTTGCCTTGGACGCTTGCGTTTCTGCGCACATCTAAGCACAAGATTTAGCTGAAGAGGCTTGTGTCTAAGCATGTGTATATACAAATAAGCGTAGATGTAGCATACAGAATGTAAAAGTATGCTGCTTAACAAAAACACAGTACATGCTTTGATGTAGATGCAGATGTAGATTTACGTATGCATGTGGTTGTGTATAGGTATGTGTATATTCATACATGTATATGTAGAGAGGTTACAGTTTTTAAAATGAATCACATAGTATATCAAACTGTATCATCTTCGAGGAAGAAGGAATACAACTGATTTGTTGATGTGTATATATACATATATATATATATATAGTCTTAAACGCCACCGTATGCAAAATGAATTATATAGCTTAGAGTATTTACAGTAGCACAAATAGTTTATTGTATTTTACATGCAAAGTCATGTATTTTAGAGTAATTACAGTATCACATATGACTTGTAGCATCTTGCATGTAATATATGATATACAACATACAACATACGATATATTGGGAAAATGTACACTTAAATTGCATAAGGTATTATACATGACATGTAACATAGAATGCATAACATGTAAACTATTGTTTATCATCGTGTATTTTCTTTGGAAAATGCTTGTTCTACAGATATTATAAATGATATCAAATATTGTTCATAATTATGCACTTTAAAAATTCCATACTACAAAGAGTGTATAGAGCACAGAAAATTATAATGTACTTGATTTGATATACTATGAGCAGGCCTTATAAGCGCGAGTTTTATTTGTAGAATACAATGTCTGTTCTTGCTTGAAGCTACTTTGAAGATACAGCAGAAGCATACTGAGAATACTGTAAGATAGCATAACCCAACCAAATACAAAATCCTTGTTAATGTGCATTCTGCATCATATTACAACATCTTTCATCTGTGTGTATATATGTACAAATACGTGAGTGTGTGCGTGCGTATAAGTATGTATGTAAGTATAACTACGTAACTACATGAAGAATGTATAACTATACAGATATATATATATATATGTATATATACATGTGTGTGTACATATCTATGAATATGTATGCACATTCTGATTGTTGTTTCGAGAGAACTGTGTCGTAGGTATTTAGGGTTGAACGCCAGCTACGCCGGTCAGGACACAAGCTTATGCCCCGTCCTCCTAAAGGCAACCTGGATCCAAGCTCACTCACTGTTTGCGGGTCGCTTGGTCAGAAGGAAACACTAATAGCGTAACGAAATCCGAAACGCTTGTTCATCCGGTTTGGCGAACCAAGGCGAGTATGCACAAGTTGTTTGCTTTATAGGTCCCTATATACCTAAGTAGCCCCCCGAGTAATCCCTAAATAACCCCTAAGGCCCCTAGAAGGGTCCGTCCTCTAGTCCCTTGAGGGTGCGTGTTGCCAATTGCAAATCAAGAAACCCTAGACCCTAAACCCTAAAACCTAAACCCCTAAACCCGAAACCCTAAACCCTAAACCCCTAAACCCTAAACCCCTAAACCCTAAACCCCTAAACCCTTAAACCCTTAAACCCCTAAACCCCAAACTCAAGAAAATCTGGACCAGGCTCCACGGCGAGCCCCGAAGAGGATCTCTCAACGGCTCCACCTGAAAGTGGGGCGCTTGGTGTTGGGTTTAGGGTTTAGGGTTTAGGGGTTAGGGTTTAGGGTTTAGGGTTTAGGGTTTAGGGTTTAGGGATGTTCCCCCTATGCTAGCAGTCCTTAATAGGGAGTACTAGTATCACAGGGGGTACTAGAATCCCGATTCAGGACTGTGCCCCCGTGCCCCCTTCTACTAGCAGTTCCTAATAGGGATTATTGTAGTAGGGGGTGTACTAGAATCCCTATTGAGGACTGTTAGTATAAGGTATAAGGGGAATCCGCAGGGATGATTATAATAGGGGGTACTAGAATCCCTATTAAGGATTGCTAGCATAATAACCCTAGGGCTCCAAGTACATAAGTTATTTTACTTCGAACATCCCCCACCTTGCTCTCCTCGTCAACAGGAAAGAGCGCAAGTAAGATGTTCAAACAAAGACACATTGATTCACATCCGCCTTCTTAGTTTTGCTTGGAATTGGGGTTGGGCACTCCAGGGAGACTCTGGGGTCTCTCCAAGGGAGACTCTGGGTTTGGGCACTCCAGGGAGACTGGGCACTCCAAAAAAACTCTGGGGTTGGGCAGGGCACTCCAGGAGTCTCTGGGTTGGGCAATTGAGGGAGTCTCTTCAGGGATTTCTGGGGTTGGGCACTCCAGGGAGTCTCTAGGAGTCCGGGCGAGGAGAAGAGTTGAGCTTAAAATCTAACAACCCCACACCGAAGGTGGGGAATAAGACGTACATTGGGGACTAAAGTCAGTAAATCATACCGACTTTGGCTATTTGGAGCCTTAGGGTATGCGGGAGCATCCCAAGTTTGGCGTATGGAGCTGTCGGTGTTCAGAGGCTTGAGGTGCGCGCGCTGTCTCGAGAAGCGTAGCAAAAGGGCCCAGTAGCTGATGGCTGGCAGTGGTTCATGGGATGTTCCAAGTTCTGTTCAGGGTTTAGGGTTTAGGGTTTAGGGTTTAGGGTTTAGGGTTTAGGGTTTAGGGTTTAGGGTTTAGGGTTTAGGGTTTAGGGTTTACGGTTTAGTGTTTAGGGTTTAGGGTTTAAGGTTTACTGTTTAGGGTTTACGGTTTGGGGGTGAAATCGGCCTGCTGTGTTCTTGCCATCTTTGCAAGCGGGGAAGCCGACTAGCTATATTCTGCTTGGAAAACAGTTCGTACATGCGAACTACATACTACTGAAGTACTATAGCAAAGCACACTTTGAATAGAAACGCCCAAAAGCCTAGAAAAGCACAATTTGCTTACAAGTGCAGAGTCTGCCTAGTAAAGGCCATAGTATTAGGAGAATCCAGAAACTGAAAATGCAAACGACTTTGTCTCCGATGTGCACAGGAATATGAAACATGGTTTGTGTTACTGTTATGGCTGAGTGCTTTTAGGGTTCCTTCTCAATATAATATTGGTGACTGTGCTTTTTCGGTCTCCGTAACATACACCCTACCTCATATGAAGCCCGTCCTTCACGCCAGTTGGAGGCTTGTGCGGCACTGTTCTTTTCTTAGCTTCGGGCCTTTTAAGGGAACCTGCGAAAACTGAAGGGCCCCCTTCCATGACTTAGCGCTCGTCCCCACTTCGTAGCCTTTTTTTGAAAGACGTATTCAGAGAAGCCTGCAAAAAAAGGTACCGAGGATCCTTGTAGTGCCCCCCCCCCCCCCCCCAGTGGCGCCCCCGCATTTCCGCCGAGTATGAGTGGAGCCTAACCCTAACCCTAACCCTAAACCCTAAACCCTAAACCCTAAACCCTAAACCCTAAACCCTAAACCCTAACCCCTAAACCCTAAAGCCTAAACCCTAAACCCTAAAAACCCTAAACCCTAAACACCCCCGGACGAGCATCCCCAGAAGCGCCACTCCCCCAAAAAACAATTCGCGCAGAGTCGAAAGGCAGAAGATTGCGGCAGAGTATCCTTACCTGGGACTCTGTTTAAGCTACAGTTGTTATGTGTAAATACCTACGAATTACAAGGCGTAGTTACCTACGAAGGGACTAGCAGTCCATAGTAGGGGTCATAGTACCCCATACTAACAGTCCTTAACAGGGAGCATAGTACCTCCTATTTTAGCCCCTATTAAGGGCTGTTCGTATGAGAGGGATCATCTTAAACCCCTAAACCCTAAACATCCCAAGAACTATAATCCCTGCTAAGGAGCTGTTCGTATATGGGCGAACATCCCAATATCTAGTATTTGCTTAAGAACCCTCAAAAAATATTTAAAAAACATAAAAACATAATAGTCCCTATATTGCCCTTAGTAAGGAAGAACATGTTTTTTTGTTTTTTGGGTGTTCTTAAGCAATTAGTAGATATACGAACACTGTGCTGTAGGGGATGATCGGAGCATATATTGTTGGTTGAACTAGGGTTTAGGGTTTGGGGTTTAGGGTTTAGGGTTTAGGGTTTAGGTGGGTTTAGAGGGGTTTAGGGTTTAGGGTGAGCTTGCTTGCTGTTGCTTCGGATCTCAAAAGATCCGCATACTTAAGGTTGGAATGAGTCCACTGTCGCAATCTGTGGATGGCAGTTACAAACAACAAGAGCACTCTTCGGGTTGATTTTGCTTCTGAGCTCCATGCGCTTGCATGTTGGCAGGTGGCGGTGTGGCTCTTGCCATGAAATTCCATGCGGGAACCCTAAACCCTAAACCCTCAAACCCTCAAACCCTCCCTCCCTTTAACATGACCTTCCGCCGTTCCGTCCGCCAAGGCTCTCCGACGGAAATGCCGCAAGGCCACCTTGGCGTTGCTTCAGGTTTGAGGGCTTAGCTCTTTCGGGGAAGAGGGAAATGTAGGGAAGGGGTGGGGTTGGGGGCGCGGAGGGGGGGGGGGTGGCAGTTGCAATGGCAGGTCTGGCGTTGTGTTGCGGGTGTGGTGTGAATGCGTTCTGATAACGGTTATATACTCTCTGTGTAGATTCGCCTAAGGGCGCGCCGAAAGGACCCACACAACCTGGTTGTTCAAGAAAACCACTCATTCTTCTCAACCAGGGAGTTCCGGAACTAGGGGGGTTCAAGGGGGTCTGTAACCCAAGGTTCCCTTATACTCCCCACTACTCCCTAAGGCTCCCCAAGCTTCCCTAAGTTTCCCTAGGTACCTACCCCCCATGATCATGAACCCCCCTCCTTAAGAACCCTGTAATAATCCCTTGAGGAGAAAGCCTTCCTGAAAATCCGGGGCAACGCCGGGCTGGTGGGAGCAAGGGAATTTGTGGACAGTGCGGTGTGGGGTATGGAGAGGGGTGATGGTTGGTGGGAGGCTTGGTGAAGGTTTGGTCATACTGTGTTGCGGTAATTCTGCCGCAATGAGTCTGTTGGCTGGAAAGGATCGGTTCGGGAAGACACCTTTTGAACATCAGTACATGCCATCTGCTCCTGGATGACGATGGCGCTGGAGGGCCAATCCCCAGAGAATGACAGGGAATCGCTCAGAGTATCCCTGAATTCCCCTCCCCAAAGCATCCCACCGTGTGTCCCCAGAGTGCCCCTTTTGAATCCCAACGCCCATAGGGTTTAGGGTTTGGGGTTTAGGGTTTGGGGTTTAGGGTTTAGGGTTTAGGGTGTTAGGGTGGGCTGTTCGAAGCAAAGGCGGATGGTTTTCGGGTTTCAGAGCTACCCAGAAGGCATTACAACACGGAAACACGGGAGCAGAAATCCTGTACCTTGCTTGGAGGATCGTGAGTAGGCACAGCTGGGGAACAAACGCTTACGACCTGATTTGGGATACTTGTAACTTGTAACTTGTAACCTTGTACTTCTCGAACAGAACCACCCCTTACAAGCCTGAAGCCCTAAAGCAACACCTGCAGCATCGTGGCTCTTCAGATGTCCTTTTTCTAACCCAGCCTGTCCTACGGCTTGCTGTGTGACTTGGCGCCATGCTCTGTGTCAAGAGGCTGTCGGGGGAAGAGTTGGTGAAAGTCCTGCTGCAGGATGGGTTGTGCGATGTGAAAGCCTTGAAGCAGCACTTGCACCAGCTGCGTGGCTTGCCACCACGCTTCCAGCAGAGGATACTTCTTCACGGCCAAATCCTGGATGACGCTTGGTAGCCCCGTGGTACACCGTACCCTTTTGTCTCGGTTATAAGTTCCCTTACAACGCAACCAACCCCCAACCTAAGGGTGCCCTTGTTATGCAAGATGGCTACTGGGCTACGAAGGATGCTACCAAGTTAGACTCTCAGATGGACAATGTGGAGTTGGAGCTTGTTCTACTTCCCTACTGCGAGGCCCCTCAATCGCAGGTGCTCCTGTCCGCCGCCTCACGCGGCTCTGCAGCTGAGGTGGGCACCCCTACCCTGAGTTTAGGGTTTAAAGTTTAGGGTTTAGGGTTTAGGGTTTAGGGTTTAGGGTTCAGGGCCTGAGGGTCCATGAACTTCATGTTTATATACTTGGGCCCCAAAGTCCCTACATATAGCAGGTGCTTTAAGGCCCAAGTACAACATGGCATGTGATAGCCGTGGGTTTTTTTTAACTCTGCAGTTTCAGGAGTTGGATTAGGGCTTGGAGTCTGAAGCCCCCCCCCTCTCCAGGTTGAGGCCCTGCTGATGGAGCCCACGGACCCGGACGCGGCCAGCGACGAGGACGACGGCAGCACCGCCCTGATCGAAGCATCGGAAAACGGCCATCCCGAGGTCATACACTTGTTGCTGGAGGCTACGAGTTGCTTAAGAAACCCCTTCAGAAAAGAAGAAGCCTTCTTCCTTGTAAGGGTAAGACAGGGACTTATTGTTGCCGGAGGCTACGAATTGCTTCAGAAACCCCCCCCCCCCCCCCCAAAAAAAAAAAAAAAATATATATATATATATATATATTCTTCCTTGTAAGGGCAATCCAGGGATTATTGTATATATACATACATATATATATATATATATATATATTTGTTTTTTAAAAAAAATTTCTTTGTTGTTTTTTTTTGGTGTTTTTTTTTTTGGGGGGGGGGTTCTTAAGCAAATAGTAGAAGGCCGGTGCTCACGTCGACTTGGCCACCCACAGCGGCATCACAGCTCTGGCGCTGGCCGCTCAAAACGGCCACCTTGAGGTCCATGGGTTCCCCCCTTAAATAGCCTTAAAAATTAGGGTTTAGGGTTTAGGGTTTAGGGTTTAGGGTTTAGGGTGTAGGGTTTAGGTTTAGGGTTTATCCCTTCAATAGCCTTAATTAGGCTTAATTAGCCCTTAATAACCTTCTCCCTAAATAACCTCAATTATGGGGGGGAACCTAGGGGGGGGGTAGTATAGAGGGGGGTAGTAGGGGAACCTCAAGAGGTCGTTCGGTTGCTGCTGGGGGCGGGAGCTTGCATCGACTTGGCCGACATCGAGGGCGACACGGCGCTGATGTCGGCATCTCAAAACGGCCACGTTGAGGTCGTGCGGTTGTTGCTTGAGTCCGGTGCTGGCATCGACTTGGTCCAGAACAGTGGTGCCACAGCTTTGACACTGGCGTCTCAGAACGGCCACGTTGAGGTCGTGCGTCTGTTGCTTGGAGCCGGTGCTCACATCGACTTAGCCGACAAGGATGGCGACACGGCCTTGATTCGGGCGTCTCAAAACGGCCACGTTGAGGTCGCGCGTTTGTTGCTGGAGGCTGGGGCTGACTGCAACTTGGCCGACATCGACGGCGACACGGCTCTGACATTGGCATCTCAAGACGGCCACGAAGAGGTTGTGCGTGCGTTGCTTGAGGCCGGGGCTCACATCGACTTGGCCGACATCGACGGTGACACAGCCCTGATGTTGGCATCTCAGAACGGCCACGTTGAGGTCTTGCTGTTGTTGCTTGGAGCCGCTGCTCGCATCGCCTTGGTCGACAAAGACGGCGACGCGGCTCCGATCGGGGCATCTCCATGCCCCCACGGAGAAGTCGTGGTTGTTGCTTGAGCGAAGTGCTCGCATCGCCCACGAAAAAGATGGCCACACGGCTCTGATTGGGACATTTCAAAACAGCCACATTGAGGCCGTGCATTCATGGACTTGGCCGCCAACAAAGGGTTCTCTACCAATCATCGGAGAAAATACTCATCAATACTCCAGACGGATGGAGCTTCCAGGCTTTTCCGACTCCTGTCAGAAAACTTAGACTCGGCCGCAAAAGCTGAGCAACATATAGTCGCCGTCAAAGATGCTAGGAGAAGGCCATCCATCAATGCAAGGACTTAATTAACTCGGGAACAGCTCCGATGTTCCAATGTTCTGGTGCACCATCGCTCCAATAAAGCAGTGCTCCAATTTTCCAATGAGCGGCCGCGATGAGGTCATTCACTTGAGCTGCGTTCTTTTCAGGCGCTTGAGTGTTACTGCACAGCGGACATTATTTTCCGCGGATGGGGTGAAGAGGTAAACAAGATTGCGCGCAAGCTCGCGGACGGGTCCGCGGAAGGCGTGGCGTTCGCGGAAGGCCTGTGGAAGGGGTCTTTCGAAAACACGTTTGAGAATTAAATTAATCACGTCAGAACCGAGAAGAATCCAATATGTTAACCTCAGAATATTACCCCCCCCCCCCCCCCCCCGGCATTCCATTGACTCCATCCCTCCCTGGGCCCTCTATTGAGCGGAGGGTCGGGCTCTCCTTCAGAAACCTGAACGCGGCAGAAAACTCCAGGCCGTCCCGTCTCAAATTTAGGACCCCAATTCCAGCAGTCTCTGGCTTAATACTACGGCCCCTGCAGACTCCGGAATCGAGGTTTCCAGGCCCTGAGCCTCAAGTTTAAGGCAGATCCGCCAAGCTTAACATGAAGCATGTACGCTTCTCTAAAAAAATCCTGGGCGAAAGGTTTCTCTTGATTGAGGGGGGGGGGGAGAGTTTACAATTGAGTTCCGGGTCTGGGGTTTCTTTGTTGAGGGCTTTTTTTTTATTATGAGGTTAACCCTAACCCTAAACCCTAAACCCTAAGCCCTAAACCCCAAACCCTAAACCCTAAACCCTAAACCCTAAACCCAAGGCTACTTCAGGATTGTACTGCTCACGGCCAACACGCCGGCAAGCACAAGAATTGCGCGCCCCATCGCTGGAAAACAAGACGTTTTCGGAGTGCGACTCCGCAGAAGGGTTTAGGGGGGTTTAGGGTTTAGGGTTTAGGGGGATTTAGGGTTTAGGGTTTAGGGTTTCGGGTTTAGGGTTTCGGGTTTCGGGTTTAAGGGTCGCGGAAGCTCCACAGAAGCCGATGCGTCCTTGGAACCACCGCACGCCTCTCGCATGTCTACGCCTTTGTCAACCCACCCTTGTTAAACCCTTAACCCTGGACCGCTACCCCAAAGATTCCAAACCTTCGACACTAAACCCGTTTTGTTGGGGGGGGAGGGTGGGGGTTCCGGACAACGCAAATACTCAGGTTACTTATTTATGTTTATGTTGAAAAGGTGGAGTCGCGTATTGCCACGGCAGGGATGCGCAAGGAATGCGGAACGCGCTGCTGTCCATCGGTTCATGCTTAAAGAAAAGAACACAGCTCATTTGCTTCTTGACCGATGTGGCCGACAACGACAGTGACTCAGCTGTGGCACTGGCAAATCAACAGGCCTGCGTTGAGGTCGCGCATGTGTTGCTTGCAGCTGGTAACGTGGCTGCTGGCCCACTACAACTTCAAGACAACTTGCTCAATATTCTCCATCGGAACAGGACAGTGCACTATGTTGCGCACTCGTTTTTTCTTGTAGATTTGTGCTTCTGGTTGCCAAGCAACATCCGTAAGCGATGAGCCTTGGAAAAAGGTCTCTGGAACGAAGCCATCTCTTCGGCGGAAGACAAAAATTGGTGCTGTTGCCCCTAAACCCTAAACCCGAAACCCTAAACCCTAAACCTTGCGTGCGCCATGTCACATGGCCGTTGTGGAGATGCAAAGCACCCTCGCAGGCGCTGCGCTGGATTCGGAGTGCCATCGCCCGAAGGAAGCACTAGCTCCAGCTGAAGGTGGGGTTTGCGTTTAGAACCAGGCTTAAAGCGATGTTGCTTACAGTTTGTAACGCTCGCAGGTGCAGCGCCTGCCGGAGAAACCCTTTCGCAAGTCATCATCGTCGTCATCATCGTCATCATCTTCATCATCATCATAATCATCATCACCATGATCACCCTCCTCATCGGCATCGTCATAACTTTTCATTTTCTCGGTGTGGCGCTGCCAGACGAGTTACATCTCAAGCATGGGCTCGGCAGCCCGCTTCTGAAATAGTAGAACCCGCCAGGGCCTTGTAAAGCAGCCCCGTACATGCAGTCTGGGCTTCAGTCCTTAAGTTGACTCATCGCTTGGGGATATGGCAGGTGCGTCGGATGATGAGACCCTGCGTGAGAGAAGCTGCGACAGGCCTCCGCCCACACACGGAGCGATAAGCACGCACACCCCACAAACCCTAAACCCTAAAACCCTAAACTCTGAAACCCTCAAACCCTTAAACCCTACACTTCCTCAACCCTCTGTGTAGAAGTTAAAGGGGGGATCACTCCGCTCGAAACCCTCAAAGCCTAGAACCGCAAGCTTCCCTGAGCCCTTCACTCGGTGCTGCCAGGTTTTCCCCAGGTCATGAGATCCTGTTTAGGAGTACAAAGGTGTTCGTTTTGTCCAATGGGATTTCTGGGAACACATAACCCCTAAAAAGTGGAGTACCTGCAACACTGAAAGGTCCACCTACGTCACAGGACTAAACCCTGAACCCTAAACCCGACAAACCTTGCTTCTGGATTGTCACAATGACCGCTTGCCTGAACCCCAAACCCTAACCCCTAAACCATGCACCCTAAACTCCAGAATCCCTAAACCCTAAACCCTAAACCCACGAAAGTGGTGGATGCCCCAGAAATCACCCACGATGTTCTCCGAAGATCCCAACATCAACGCAGAGCTGCCCCGAAGGCTACCCAACCCTGGTGTGTGGGGTCTAGCGCTTAGGGTTTAGTTCTCTTACACCCACACACCGGAAAGGGGGGGGGGGGGGAAAGACAACTTCAATTCAAGCACTAGTGTAGAGATATCATGACATAACATGATAATGTTCGCACTTGGTACAATATACTACAAGTCACGACCGTTTACCACATTTTGTCTTACAGTACAGTATGCAAGATTTTACTATACCATGCAATATAAGTTAATATGTTATACTAAGCCCTAAACCCTAGACCTGAAATAGGTATGTTCTGCATGATGGCTCGCCAGGGCCAGCGTGGCTTCTGAAGACTTCCACTCTCCTCGGGGGAACTCCGTGGCCAGCTCCTGTACGATGGAGTGACGCCTGCGGCTCAGTGCTTGCATTAGTATATGTAGAGAGAGATATACATATATATATATATGTATATACATATACAGATGTGTATGTATACACGTATATATATATATATATGTAGTCTTATCCTGTATTCACTGTACAATATCATCTACTCATGTTTTCTACTCAGAGTTGTCAAGGGCTCACGGTGCAGCCGCGCCAGGGAAGAGTATCAGCAGGACCTTCGAAGGAGACGCTGAGCGGAAACTTCGCTCACTTTGACCGGCCTTTGTGCACACTTGATGCCTTCTTGCCCTTCAGCAGAAGCATCGACAGCAGCCTCTCATGGAAGCTGGCCTATAGACATGTCCCACAAAGGGATGCACTAGCAAACCCGGCATGGCCTGACGTCGTCCATGAAAGGTCTGATGAACAACCAGCAGCTGTGCGAAGCACAATTCAATTCAGTGTTTTTTATATGTGTCCTGAGATGGTGGACTGGCCCGATACATTCAGGGTCGTCTCGCCTCTCTGCTGAAAATGCACCAGGCAGCCATCTGCCACGTCTAATTCATGTCAGAGCACTTTAGAGTTGTTGCGGTCGCTTTTGCCCCTGTGGAAGTGGGGTGGATCAACGAAGTCTGGCTTTGCGACTGTACCTAAGACTGGGCTCAGTTTCACTATCTAACCCTAAACCCTAAACCCTAAACCTCAGTATGTGTCTACAAGGTCCGGAGTTTCTTGGGGTGTGCAAGTGCGACTGCTCAGCCTTCGTCGACATGGAGCCCAATGATCGAATCCCCCCATCGCCCTGCGGAACAAGACATTCTGACATGGCAGAGTTTAGGGTTTAGGGTTTAGGGTTTAGGGTTTAGGGTTTTGGGTTTAGGGTTTAGGGTTTAGGGCTTAGGCTAAACCCCCACCTGGCAGAGTTTGGCCTAGAGCTTCTGTAGATTTGCGCGGATCGTCAGAGCCCCAAGCCCTAACCAGGCTCCCAGGCCCGAAAGCCCGAAAACAACGACCCACCGAAGAATGAGCCCGACCAGCGGCAGAGTGCGGCGCAAAGGCGGGGGGGTTTAGGGTTTAGGGTTTAGGGTTTGGGGTTTGGGGTTTGGGGTTTGGGGTTTGGGGTTTGGGGTTTAGGGTTTAGGGTTTAGGGTTTTGGGGGGGGGGCTCAAGGGTACTCAATGTTTACTTCCTGGAACTTCAGGGTTTTGGTTTGACTTTTCGGCTTCAGGGATCTACCTGCAGGGGCATCATCCGAGACAGCTGCGAAATCCGTCAACACCGAACCCCTAAGCCCTTAAACTCCCAAAGTCCCACAGTCCCACATCCCAAAGTTCCAAAGTCTCAAGCCCCGGTTTAAACCCTTACCCTAAACCCTATAAACTCTAAACCTATAAACCCTAAACCCTATAAACCCTTTATCCACGCATCCTGAACCTCACACTCGTTGCTGTCGAGACCCACGTATTAAACCCGAACGCTGCCAAGCCCTAATTCCCAAACCTTCCAGAGCTATGGTGGTTCAAAGTTGCAGAAGTCGCATGGAGGCCCTTATTCGAGTTCTATGTGCCTTCCATTTGTGGCTTCTATAATATATGTATATATGTATTTGTTGTTATACTCAGCAGATGACAGCGGAGAGTTATAGACAACTTGCAAGAAACTGGTTCATAAACCCTAAACCATAAACCCTAAACCCTAAACCCTAAAGCGCCTGGGACCGCGGAGCGGCCTCTGGCCTTGGAATGCCCTGCCATGCAAAGCTGGAATGGGGAGGACATTGAGCTGGTGCAGAGCTGCCGGCCCTTTGAAGCCGTGCCTGCAACTTTCAGGGTTTTTAGGGTTTAAGGGGTTTAGGGTTTAGGGTTTAGGGTTTAGGGTTTAGGGATTGGGCTTGGGGTTTGCAACATCCTGCGTAGCACCTTCTGCCCTAATGCCCTCGCGTCAGTTGGCTCTGCAAGCTGCATCATTCGGAAGGCTGGTGGCTAGGGAGCTTTTGCAGATTTAGGGCTGTTACTTCCTGTAAAGCACGGGCTCGACTTGTTCATCCAGAACGCCAAGCCCCAAACCCCTTGGAATGTTCATGGACGATCACGGAATGTTCATGGACGGTGATGGGCACCTTTATCATAAGCAGGGTCATGAGCAAGGTAGCAGTATGTATCACCCCAACTGAGATACATATAAGCCTCTTACAATGACCCTTGATCCTCCGAGTCAGCCGACTCCGTTGCAAAGGATGCTGGGATCTCGCGACTTGCTGTGGAAAGATGCCATTGCCATCTCGCGGGGGCCTTGGTAACGAAGATGCAGCCAGCAACTGATTGGGAAAGAAGTTGTTGATCTCTGCCTTGATAAAGTCAGAAAACTCGCTGACAACTGTGCTAAATGTTCATGTATGGAAATGAATTGGGAGGAAACTCAAACTGGGTCCGTGAGAAGGTCAGAAGGAGGGTTTAGGGTTGCCGGTATACTTGGAACGTCATGGCACTGAAAACCGGGCGTGGAAGTCATAAATGGCAAGAACCTTGTACAGGGTAGTTCAAATTTTTGAAGTACCAAAAGTCCATCTCAGTAGGATTCGGACCCCTTGTATGAGCCCAACGAAGTCTAAGCCCTAAATGCCGACTTCCCCTGAAGCCCTTGACCCCTACACCCGAGATCCTCAACCCCTCAATCCTTAATGCTAAACCCCTAAAACCCTATCTTAATCAAGCCCAAACCATACCCCCCTCCCTAAATTGAGTCCAAACCCTTAAACCCTAGAGCCGTAAAGCTCTGAAGGCCTAAACCTCCTAAAGCCGTAGGGTTTAGGGTTTAAGGTTTACTGTTTAGGGTTTAGGGTTTCAAACCCTAAGCCCCACATGAATGATGCTGGTGTACATTTCCTCTCTGCCGTGAGTTGCTCCATCCGAGGATTCGCCTGGAGTGTCCTCAGACAGAATGCATAAACCCTAGAAACCCTAAAGACTCAAAACCCCGAACCCCCTATAAAGCCCTATAGAACCTATAGACCCTAAATAAATAGACCCTATAACTAGAGCCGATAGACCCTACAGACCCTCTAAACCCTAAACCCTAAACCCTAAACCCCAAACCCCCCTAAAGCTCCCAGGTCCTGAGCGCCTCCACCGAGGGCTCCTTGGCCCTCTGCGACCTCCGCCGCCTCGGCGCAGGGCCTCTGGCTCGCGCTGCGACCTGCAAGGCGCGGGCTTAGGGGCATAGGGTTTAGGGTTTAGGGTTGAGGGTTCAGGGTTCAGGGTTCAGGGTTCAGGGTTAGGGTTTAGGCTCTGGGGTTTAGGGTTTAGGGTACTTATTACGGTACTTACAGCCACATACATACATACATACATACATATATACATACATACATATATATATATATATGTATGTATATGTATAGATATACATATGTGTATATGTATGTGTATGTGTATGTGTATGTGTATGTGTATGTGTATGTGTATGTGTATGTATATATATATATATGCACACACATTGGGCTTAGTCGGGGTTTAGGGTTCAGGGTTTAGGGTTTTAGGGCTTAGGGTGTTAGGGTGTAGGGCTTGAGGTGTAGGGGTTAGGGTTAGGGCAGTGTTGATATAATTTGGGGTTCAACCCCTAAATCAGGAAACCCTATAAACCCCAAACCCTAACCCTAAGCCCAAAGCTCTAAACCCTAAACCCTAAACCCTAAACCTGCAGACCTAAGTGTTCTTAGCAGCACGGCCTCAGCGAAGCGTCGAACCCAAGCCCTAGGTATTCAACCCTAAACCCAAAATAACAAGCAAAGACCAAACGTCCTAAACCCGACACCCTAAAACCCAAAAACCCTCCTAAACCCTAAAACTCTAGAACCCAAAAAAACCAAAACCCGTAAACCCTAGAACCCTAAAACCCAAAGACCCTAAAACCCTAAAACCCAAAAACCCTCCTAAACCCTAAAACTCTAAAACCCAAAAAACCAAAACCCTAAAACCCTAAAACCCTAAAACCCTAAAACCCTAAAACCCTAAAACCCAAATTCCTGAAACCCAAAAACCCAAAAACCCTAAACCCTAAAACCCAAATACCCTAAAACCCTAAAACCCTAAACCCTGAACCTTGGCGACTCGGCAGGGTAGAGGTGGACCCTCACAAGGCCTCCACAAGAAGTGGAGGGGTCCTTTAGAGGGGGTTCCTCTAAGTGGGTTTCTATTCCCTAAACCCTAAACCCTAAACCTTAAACCCTAAACCCTAAACCCGAAACCCTAAACCCTAAACCCGAGTTGGTTGCATAAAGGGCGGGCCCTTCTCTTGGACTCTCCTAAATGCCCTGGCAGGAGGGGGAGGAGTGCAGCCGACCTCCCACCTCCGCTGGAGCAGCACACACGGAGGCAGGAAAGCAGGGGCGGTGTTGCAAGTAGGGTTCAGGGTTCAGGGTTCAGGGTTCAGGGTTCAGGGTTTAGGGTTTAGGGTTTAGGGTTTAGGGTTTAGGGTTTAGGGTTTAGGGTTTAGGGTTTAGGGTTTAGGGTTTAGGGTTTAGGGTTTAGGGTTTGGGGTGTAGGGTTCAGAGTTCAGGGTTCAGGGTTCAGGGTTCAGGGTTCAGGGTTCAGGGTTCAGAGCTAAGTCTCGAGGCCCCATGCTCCTCCAAAAGCTTGTGTGTGTGTGGGGGGCTGAAAATCCGAACCTTAGCAGCTGAGTGAGTACACTTTACACTTTTTGGGATACTATCATCCCCTCTAGAACTGAAAGTGTACACTTTTTAGGGGCTTATGAACTCATCAACTAAGGAGCTAAACCCGGCACCCGACCACTCTAAGCCTCGCCCGAGACCCTGCCTTTTCTCCCTGGGCAAAGCCTGCGACCCTACACCCCTAAAACTCCCAAAAACCCCTAACGAAGCGCCAAAAACCCTACGACTCCCTCAGCCCCTAACAAAGATCTCCTCAAAAACCCCTAGAACCCCTCAAACTCCGAAGCCCTGAAGCCCTTGGCCCAGACCCGAACCCCCGAGTTGCCACACTCCTGTGCGCTGAGGAGGCTGTGGGCCACGGCGACGCCGTTGAAGGTTGGGGTATGGAGCTTGAAGATGTGAGGGTTTAGGAGTGTGAGGGTTTGGTGTTCAGAGTCTATAGGGAAATTGTCATTCTAGTTTTTTTCTCTGTCGGGCGGTGGGGAGCCGAGTGTGCCAAGCCTTACGCAGTGGTGCCCTAAACCCTCAACCCCAAACCCGAAGCCCTAAACTTTCCACCTGCAAGCCCAAGATCCTAGTTAAGCCCCTCAACCCATTTACGCTACCGGCTCACAGCTACCCTTCTTAGGGGTTTAGGGAGGAGACTAGATGGCCTCTGAGCAAAGCTTTGCAACAGAGCCTTCGAGACATAAGCTTTGAGAGTCTTGGGGTTCAGGTCTTATATAGGTGGCCTGGGAAAGACCCAGTGCCTCTAGTAAGGCACACCGCTGTCATGAGATCCCAAGTCTGTGGGCTACACTGTCTAGAGCTCTACCAGGTCTTCAGGGCTGTGGTCCCCTAGCAGGGCAGTTCGGTATATTGAACGGGTTAATCTACATGGGTGGTTGTCAAAATTATGGTCCCTTTTTGGATCCCCATAAAAACACGGCACGTAATATTTACGGTACCCCAAAAGGGATCATATTTTTGACAACCACCCACACGCACGAATGCACTGGATGTAAGAGCGCGTTGCATTGGGGATTGGAGCAAAGCTGCAGCAAAGCTTTGCAAAGGGTGGTCGCGACTACCTTAAATCCCAGCAAGCCCCGTCTTCTCCATGATATCCTAAATCCCGAAGGCCTCAGCCCCAACTCAGATCCTCAAGGGCACTTGAAACCCTACGGTTCCAACTGCCAATGAACCTTCAAGCAGACCTCCTGCATCCTAAATCTTAGGCCTGCCCCTAACAAAAATCTTCAAACTTCTCAAAGCCCTCAAAACCCTCAAAGCCCTGAAAACCCTCAAAGCCCTCAAAACCCTCAAACACCCCCAAGCCCCGCAAAACCCTCAAAGCCCTCAAAACCCTCAAAACCCCCAAAACCCCAGCCTTTGAGAAGGATTGGCCCTAAACCCTAAAACCTAAACCCTAAACCCGAAACCCTAAGCCTTTGAGAAGGATTGGCCTGGCTACCAGGGGAAGACCGGCTCTTTGCCTCGGGCTCCCTCGATGGCCGCGTGAAGGTCTGGGACGCGGTGCCACGGCGGAAGGGTTCGGTTTTTCAGGGTTAGGGTTTGGGGTTTAGGGTTTAGGGTTTAGGGTTTCAGGGTTTCAGGGTTTCAGGGTTCAAACGGTTTTAAATAAATACCCGCCCCTATACGGAACATTTTTGAATTTAGCCCTTGCCCTAAACCCTAAACCCTAAACCCTAAGCCGGAAGAGTCTTAGGATGCAGGGTGCCCCGGAACCCCAAACAAACTTTGAAGGGAGGGCGGCCCAGGCTGAAGCCAAGGGGCCTTAAGGCTCGAAACATCCTGACTTCCTGGGTTCTTGGGTTCAAAAATAGGGTTTAGGGTTTAGGGTTTAGGGTTTAGGGTTTAGGGTTTAGGGTTTAGGGTTTAGGGTTTAGGGTTTAGGGTTTAGGGTCTGAACCGAATCGGGCTGGCCTGTGGGCCGCCATCGCAAGGTAAACCAAGGTTGGACAGCTTTCTAGAAGGCAAGGCCTTTAAAGCCCGAAACTGCTAGTACCTGAAGTCCTAAGGTTTCCCGCCTTGCTGGACGATCGCCAAGGCCCTTAAAGCCTGAAACCTTCCGAACCTCAAGGCCTGCAACTTTCCTACCTTGGTGTTTGCAGCCAGCTGAAGGAAAGCGGGCTTCCAACTGCAGCTAACCTAATTGAGAAAGTCCTTCCACCCGACAAATTCTAGATTCTAGGGGGGAAGCGCCAGGGTGATTTAGATCATAGGGGTGGCTCCATAGAGCCTAGAGCCCGGTGCTATGGGCTCAGCGCTGTTGACGCCAAGCCGCCCAGGAAGCTTCCTCCACTGCCCTCTCTGCAGTGTTGGATCTGGACCTCCACAGTGAAGTGCGAGGTGGGCCCCTAAACCCGGAGATTCCAACTACAGCGCACAACAGCAAACAGCAACAAATGACAACTAACAACAACACCCCTAAATCCTGACCCTAAACCCATACCCCTTGCGGAGGGAGTCGGCCTGAAAATATGTACGGGACCCCAAATAGGTTGTGAGGTATACGGTATACTCCTCAAATAAGGATCTTGGGCTCTACGGGGTCCTAAGTTTTTTGAACCCCATACCCGAATGTTTGAGAACTCTGGGCGCAGAGGTCTGGCGATCGCTGATCCCAAGTGCAGCGCGCAGGTGTGCCCGAAGGGCCTCCTGTTGCGGTTTAGGGTTTAGGGTTTAGGGTTTAGGGTTTAGGGTTCAGGGTTCAGGGTTCAGGGTTCAGGGTTCAGGGTTCAGGGTTCAGGGTTCAGGGTTTAGGGTGCACTAAATGTTCTTGATGCTAGGGTGAGTGTTTCTGGGTTTGTTTACAGCTATTGGGGTTTAGGACTTTTTGGAGGGATTGTCGGGTTGAAGGCACGAGAACCTCAGGTTCAGGCTTGCCTCTTTTGCTCTTACGCGGAATCCCTAAACCCCAAAAAAACAAAACCCCCAAAGCCCTACAGCCCTGAAGCCCTAATTTTAAGGCGTGGGTCCCTCTTGTGCCCAGAAGCATCGTCCCCCTAAACCCCAAAACCTTGTCAAACCAAAGCTGAACTCTCCTGACCCTCAAACCCTAAACCCTACACCCTGAAAGCCCTAAAACCTAAACCAGCTCGCCGTGGCGCTGGGGGACTGCACCATTCGCCTCGTTGACCTCCGCAGCGGTCGTCCGGTAAACACGCTGCTGCCCGGGCTAGAAGACTTTAGGGTTCCGGGTTTAGGGTTTCGGGTTTAGGGTTTCGGGTTTAGGGTTCAGGGTTTAGGGTTTAGGGTTTAGGGGTTGGGATTCAGGGTCTAGGGCTTCTTCTAGGGCATTTTTTGGGTTTGGGGTCCTTAGGCTCAAGGTGGGGAAGCTGACGTAGAGATTCAGGGGAGATCGATCTGTGGCTACGGTTCTAGCGATAGGAACCCACAAGGTACATACGCCATGATGTGGTTAATAGCCTGAGGACCTGAGGACAGAAAACCCTAAACACTACACACTAAACCCTAAAGCCCAAACCCTAAACCTTAAACCCTAAACCCTAAACCCTAAACCCTAAACCCTAAACCCTAAACCGTAAACCTCAACTCTCATGGCTGGATGCTAGGCTGCGGACTGATGCTACCAACCCTAAGCCCTAAACTCTAACCCTTGGCTCGCAGCCCTAAACCCTAAACCCTAAACCCTAAACCCTAAACCCTAAAACCTAAACCCTAAACCCTAAACCCTAAACCCTAAACCCTTAACCCTAAACCCTAAACCCTAAACCCCTAGTGCAAAATGCTCGCTCGAAGTGGTTCGGCATTTTTGCGGATCAGGGCTTTTGGGGGTTTTCATGGCCGGGGGCGTGCGGTCGGTGCTGCAAGACCCAACCTTGCACCTGCTTTCCTTGTGTTAGTTTAGGGTTTAGGGTGTAAGGATTAGGGTCTAGATAGAGTTTAGGGTTTAGGTTTTGGGGTTTCCGTGCCAGAGCCCAAAAGCGCGAAAGGCCTCCCTTTTGATTCTTAGGCTGCTGGGGAAATGAGATTCCATTCAACAACAGCATCCCAAACCCTCATACCCCACATAAGAAACCCTCAGCCCTAAACCCTTTAAAGCCTAAACCCTTCCGAAGCCCTGAACCCGAAACCATAAACCCGAAACCCTAAACCCCAACCACCAGCAAAGGCAGGGCCACACCAAGCCGCCACTGCCCCTTGCCGACAGAGTTGTAAGGGGTTTTTATCGGGTTTTAATAGGGCTGTATGTAGGGTTTAGGGGATCTTGGGTGGGGTTGTTTAGGGTCTGCGTGTCGTAGAACTGTAGGACGCGATCGCACCCTTTGGATTCTGGAGTTTCGAGCTTAGATTTAGGGTTTCGGGTTTAGGGTTGCATTGGCGACTAAGGGCTGAAATTCTCTAGGGCTACCGTTGACTCCTCAAGTCTGCGAGCTAGTGGTAAGCACGACGAACTAGGGGGAAACTGCGGGGGTGGGCCACTGAATCATGTGAGCCGGTGTGGACCATCATTTTCTGCCGTCCTTTTGCGATGGCGTTCATTGCGAGGATTGCAAAGATTCTTGTGGACAGCCAGTGCTTTCTGATAGCGTGAGAGGATCGCCAAGAATGATGGAACTTCTCCCTTGCACTCTTTCTGAGTCTCTCACTCTCTCTCTCTCTCTCTCTCTCTCGCGCGCAGGGTCGATGACTTGAAGGCTCCCGGGTAGTTGCAAGCAGGGCATGACCCCCAAAGAAGGCAAGAGTGTAGGGTTTAGGGTTTAGGGTTTAGGGTTTAGGGTTTAGGGTTTAGGCTTAGGGTTTAGGGTTTAGGGTTTAGGGTTTAGGGTTTAGGGTTTAGTGTAGCCGGAGCTCTAGTTACCTAGAGCCCCAGTTCTATCTACCCATGAACGTCCTAAAACCTAACTCCTAAACCCCTAAACCCGAAACCCAAAACCCCTAAACCCAAAACCCCAAACCCTAAACCCCTAAACCCCCAAACCCCTAAACCCCAAACCCCAAAACCCCTAAACCCTAAACCCTAAACCCAGGGCGCTTGTCTGGGGCGAGCCTTCCCTGAGCCAGCTCTTCTCCGGAGGGATGGCTGCTGCCTTACATCTCAAGTGCGTCTCAAGTACAGACTGCGCCTGATGTTTAGGGTTTAGGGTTTAGGGTTTAGGGCCAAGGGTCGTATCTAGACTGGGCTGAATCGGGCTCTTGACCCTGAAAGGCTTAGAAGTTTATAGAGTTGAGGGGCAGCTGGCTCAGCTGATCTGAAGTCACCAGCCTTAAGCCAAGAGAGCCTCGGATTCCCCCCAATCCCTACATCAGTTGCGCACCAGCGTTCTGACGAAACTCTTCCCGACAAGCCCCAGAATGTAAGCCCTGTACACTATACATAGAACCTCATACCCTACCAATAAACCCTAAACCCTAAACCCTACTAGAAGCCCTAGAGCCCTAAGCCCTACGACTCGATGGACCAGAAGCTTAGAAAGCCCTGGGGCCCTCTAAAACGCTAAGCCCTAAACCCTCTACCACCCTAAACCCTAAACCCTAAACCCTAAACCCTAAACCCTAAACCCCTCCAAGGATGGCACCATCCGGGCTTGGGATCCCCGAATGGGCGCTCGGAGCCTCTTCCTCTTCGATCCCTATGCGCACGAAGGCCGGAAAGCGGTGTCTTTAGGGTTTAGGGTTTAGGGTTCAGGGCTCAGAGTTCAGAGTTGAGGGTACCCTCACTCCTACGACCCCGCGCCCGAAAGAAGGCCCATTTTTGTTTGAGCCTTGTGGGTTTGGGCAGGTAGGGTGGGGGAGGTCCCTAAACCCTAAAACCTAAACCCTAATGAGGGATCCCATATATCCGCGTTAAGTTTTTGCGGCCGTCGCGTTTAGGGTTTAGGGTTCAGGGTTCAGGGTTCAGGGTTTAGGGTTTAGGGTTTAGGGTTTAGGGTTTTGAGACTTGGGGCCTTAGGGAATTAGAGTCTGGATCTTAGGGCATCCTGTCGTTTCGCATCGATAGCAGCGCTCGCACACGAGCTGAAAGCTGACGCCTCTGCAAACAGGCTGTGCAACTTGGCAGTTCTTGTCGAACTAGCAGCAGCTCCGGTTTAGGGTTTAGGGTTTAGGGTTTAGGGTTTAGGGTTTAGGGTTTAGGGTTTAGGGTTTAAGGCTCCCTCCAAGCCCAACACGCTTTGAAGCCCAAAATCTCAGGAGCAACCCGAAACCCGAAACCCCAAACCTCAAAGCTTCCGAAAACTTGCTGAGGCCCTATGTTTAAGCCCAGTGGGGCGTCCCTACATCCCCTCAACCACTAAGCCCTACACCGATCCCCCCAAAGCCACCCACCACAAAGCCCTCCAAAGCAAGCCGGTTTAGGGTTTAGGGTTTGTGGTTTGGGGTTTGGGGTTTCGGGTTTGGTTTAGGGTTCAGTCAGGGTCCAGTCAGGGTTCAGTCAGGGTTTCGGGTTTGGGGTGAGAAACAAAAATCGAGAAAAGGCCCTTTACAGCTCGCAAACCCCTTCTATGGGCCTTAGAAAGAAAGCCTCTAAGCCTCTAAGCCTCTAAGCCCTAAACCCTAAACCCTAAACCCTAAACCCTAAACAAAACCCAAAGCTGTACACGGCAGACCCACTGCCCTTGCGCCGCTGGGATCCGGATCCCATAGAGCCCGGCCGCCGAGCTCCCGAGGCAGCTCGGCGTTAGGGTTTAGGGTTTAGGGTTTAGGGTTTAGGGTTTAGGGTTTAGGGTTTAGGGTTTAGGGTTTAGGGTTTAGGGTTTAGGGTTTAGGGATTAGGGTTTAGGGTTTAGAGGGTCTATGGAGAGGCTCTTCAGTTCAAGGGTTTAGGGTTTGAGAACCGAGGACTTTAGGGCTGAAGTGCTCCAGAGGTTTCGGGTTGCGAGGGGGCTTCGGGGACTGGGAGTTTAGTTGAAAATTACAGATTCAATTGGGGGTTTACGAAAATAGAGGACCCCAAAATAGACCCACTAGGATCCCCTCCCAATCCTGTGCTGATGGTCTCTGCCTTTGTGCGTATAGGGCATAGGCTTGGTAGCCCAGTGTACCCTGTTCCCTGTTTTTGGTTCAAGGTTCCCGTATAAAGTAACCCATCCGAAAAATATGAAATGTTGATTGGCTACCAAGTAGGGCAAAGGTTGGCAGATCAGTACCTGCGCCGCTCCAGACCCAGAACACGCCCAAATCTCCAAGCCTGCAGACCCCCTAAACCCCAAACCCCAAACGCCCTAAACCTCCCCCAACTCCTCGCAAGAAACCCTAAACCCTAAACCCTAAACCCTAAACCCTAAACCCTAAACCCTAAACCCTAAACCCTAAACCCTAAACCCTAAACCCTAAACCCTAAACCCTAAACCCTAAACCCAACAAATCCAAATCAAGCCCGCGAAGCCCTCGACCTTGAACGCCAAATTCCTAACAGCCCCCAAACTCCCTCATCAAGACACACAGGGTTTAGGGTTTAGGGTTTAGGGTTTAGGGTTTAGGGTTTAGGGTTTAGGGTTTAGGGTTTAGGGTTTAGGGTTTAGGCTGAACCTCTGAAAGCTATTCTAAGCCAGAAGCGCCTAGGAGTGGGAATACACGCGCGAGCTTAGATTCGAGCCGTATCGCTTCAGGCGCCAGCAGCAGCTCGGGATTTGGGTTTAAAGTTTGGGGTGTTGCGCCGTTCTGGCTTAGCAAGCACGCCTTCGCGAGGCTTTAGCAAAGCCCACAGAAACTAAGAACCGTACAGCCGCCATAAACAAATGGCTTCTCAAACTCTGCACCCGTTGGCGCGGTGATAATTCCTGAATCCTCAAACCCCGAAGCCGAAGCCCTTAGACTCCGCAGGGGACTTCAGCACATCCCAAAACCCACGAAACTAGACACGTGCAACCCAACAGCCTAAATTCATGGAAGCCCTGAAGCTTGAGCCTCACAAAGATAGAGACATAAAGATCACTGGGAGGGGAAGAAGGCGGCTCAAACCCCAGGCCCGGAGAGCTGTCTCAGCCTTTGACAGAAAGAGGGAAGGAACAAACAAACCAAGGACCACACAGAATGAAGGAAGGCAGGAAAGAAGGAAGGAAGGAAACAAGGGAGGAAAGAAAGAAAAGAGACAGAGAGGGCTCGGGGCCCAAGTCTGGCGAAAGCCTACCTAGGATGCCCAGTAGTACCCTTATTCCCTTTTTGGGGGTTTAGGTTCCCTTATAAACCCCTTTAAGCAAAAAAGGGCACCCTTTTTAAGCCCTGGTTACTGGGCAGCCTAGCTATAAACACTTCCACCGTAGCTGTCCGAGGGGTGAACCGCGCGCCTGGTACACCCGGAGGTGCATGGCCCCGTTGTAAAAAAACACGCAAAAAACCCAAAACCCTGAACCCCAAACACCGCACCACAATTTTCAAAACCCTAAACCCTAAACTCTAAACCCTAAACCGGAGGTCCATGAAGAGCGTCCTGGGCACCCATCAGCCCCGCGTCGGTTCGGCCATGGCCCTCGGCAGCACAACCATGCGCCCCGCGCCCGCACGTGGGGCAGTGGTCAGGGTTTAGGGTTTAGGGTTTAGAGTTTAGGGTTTAGGGTTTAGGGTTTATTGTTTAGGGTTTAGGGTTTAGGGTTTAGGGTTCAGGGTTCAGGGTTTTGGGTTTAGGGTTTAGGGTTTAGGGGTGGCTGTTGTTGTAAACTCGGGCCATCGACTAGGTACCCTTAGAGTTTAGGGTCTATAGAGTGCCAGCCTGACCCTAAACCCTAAACCGCCTAAACCCTAAACCCTAAACCCTAAGCTCCTACGAGAATCTGGTCGCATGTTCTCTCCTCATGGCTTGCCCATCGGTGAACATGATAGACTAGGATGCCCAGTAGTGCCCTTATTCCCTTTTCTGGGGGTTTAAGTTCCCACCCCCTTCAAATCCCTTTCAGCAAACAAGGGCACCCGTGTTATTCCTAAGCTACTGGGCAGCCGAGTAGAGATATGATTGGTTCAGCTAGGAACAACACTCATTAAGGGGCGCCCTGGAGGAGGCTCCTGTGGGTTTCCGAGCCAGTCAAGGGGTTTAGGCTGAAACCCCCAATCCGAACGCTAAGCTGAGTGACGGTTGGAGGGAGCGCCTGTGAAGTGGGTTTAGGGTTTAGGGCTTAGGGCTTAGGACTTAGGGAAGGGGCCCCTATTGTGAAAGCTGGGCATCAACGGCTTCAGATGTTGTGGCTTGAGTTCGCCGGGTTCTCTTTTCAGGGATTTCTCTTCATTCCTTTGAGATCACCCGGTTGCTGCGTACGGAGCTTCTCGCAAGTTAAACCTTTGCGCTTCAGGGAGCTTTGCGAGGATCCTTCTCACTTCTCCTCCGCTTGCCCAGTCCCACCCCCCCTCGTCCTAAACCCTAAACCCCAAACCCCAAACCCTTAACCCCAAACCCCAAGCCCTAAGCCCTGAGCCCTAAACCCTAAACCCTAAACCCTAAACCCTAAACCCTAAACCCTAAACCCTAAACCCTAAACCCTAAACCCTAAACCCTAAACCCTAAACCCTAAACCCTAAACCCTAAACCCTAAACCCTAAACCCTAAACCCTAAACCCTAAACCCTAAACCCTAAACCCTAAACCCTAAACCCTAAACCCTAAACCCTAAACCCTATGAACCCTAAACCCTAAACCCTATAAACCCTAAACCCTAAACCCTATAAACCCTAAACCCTAAACCCTGAACCCTAAGCCCTAAGCCCCCAGCCCTAAGCCTGCTGAGATGCGCCTGATGTCAGTGAGCCGAAGACCAAGCGAGACCTAGAGAAAGAGAGGACGGGCCGCTTCTCTGGGTTTCAGGGTTTAGGGTTTAGGGTTACAGGTTACAGGGTTTAGGGTTTAGGGTTTCGGGTTTGGGGTTTGGGGTTTAGGGTTTTGGGTTTTGGGTTTTGGGTTTAGGGTTTAGGGTTTAGGGTTGGGATGTACCCCCTAATACCAACAGCCCTTCATAGGGATTACAATGGGGGGGTACTATATTCCCTAAAAAGGACTGGTAGTATAGGAGGGAACATCCCAAGTTATAGGGTTTATGTCAGAATCGGCTTACGTAGGATTCAGGGTCTGTTGCAGTTTGGAAACCAATAGCCTTCGTGGACGCCTAAGGCTTATGGAGCCGCAGGCCTTGGCATAAACCCTAAACCCTAAACCCTAAACCCTAAACCCTAAACCCTAAACCCTAAACCCTAAACCCTAAACCCTAAACCCTAAACCCTAAACCCTAAACCCGAACCCTGAACCCTGAACCCTAAACCCTAAACCCTAAACCCTAAGCCCTGGGCAGCACGCCATGAGTTTTAGTCATGCTGGGTAGGGCCTGGGGGTATTTTATGCTTCCCAAAACAACTCAACCCTCAAAACGCTGCAACCCCCACAACCCTCAAAAGCCACCAAGAAAGACCTCAAAAACCCAAGAAAAACCTCAAACACCATCAAAAAACCTCAACCCCCCCAAAAGCCCTGAAGACCAGTCACTTGACAACTTGTTGATCTCAGAGAGGAGGGTTTAGGGTTTAGGGTTTTCGGTTTACGGTTTAGGGCTTAGGGCTTAGGGTTTAGGCTTGACTTGCCACTTTGCCGGCCCTTTGCTCGGACGAGGCAGAGGGAGCTGTGGAAGGAGGAGGCGGCCGATGTGTTGTCTTGGTTTGGCGGGCTTCCTTCGGTAGGCAGAGCTGCGGTTTAGGGTTTAGGGTTTAGGGCTTGGGGTTTAGGGTTTCGGGTTTAGGGTTCAGGGTTCAGGGTTTAGGGTTTAGGGTTTAGGGTGAGGGCTTCAGCTCGGGTTGCCCCCAAAACCGAAGCTCCAAAATTCCGCTATAAAACACGCAAACCACGGTTCCGGAACCTGGAACAGGCGTTTGGCGTATGATGCGTCTCCAAAGGCCAATCGAAGCTTCTACCGCTCCAACCCTGGCCTGGGGCCCCCCTGGACCAGGGGCCCTTTAACAGGTTCAGACTGGGCCACTGCTCAACAAGTGCGTTTTTGTTTTTGCGTCCTCGAGGCCCCTGCAAGGCCCTGGGAGGGAACTGGGACTGGGCGGAGGCTCGGGTTTCTGGTGAAAGGCCCCTGAAAAAGGCCCCTGAGAGGCTCCTGCGCCCCTGGCGGATTTCGTGCCGAAGATACCGGGAAAGGCCCCTGTTGGCCCCGGACAACCGGACAAGGGTGACCTCAAAGGGACCCCTAAAAACGCCCTATTTTTGCAAACTCCCATGAAAACTAAAATAGACCCCAAAAAGTAGACCCCAATAAGGTACCCCTGTTGTCGGAAACCCTAAACCCTAAACCCTGAACCCTAAACCCTAGAAACCCCCATGTGGCTTAAGCACCCTCATTGACCGCGACAAGGTTGAGATCAAACGCCGCCATGCCTTCGGACCTCGAAGGCCTAGTACACGTACACATGCGATGAGAATTGTCTCAACATCTTCCGAGACGTTAAGGAATAGGGTCTGGGGTTTAGGGGATTGCCGGTTTGGGGTTTATGGGTGTTTGGGTTCCAAGGTTGTACGGAGCTCGGTCACTCTCCTGCTGTACGAGCTCGACCCAGCTTTGCATGCTGGCGGCCAGCGATTGGTGACACGTGGTAGCGCAAACACCCCCCCCCCCCCCACATCCCACATGCAGACTACAGCTAGGGAAGGAGCCTCATATTTCAGAAGCAGAATCAGGCGGGGGGTCCCGCAGTGCTGCTTGAACAGCCGTTTGGGCCAGTGGCAGGTTTTCAGGCGCACTCCACAGCCCTAAAGACCTGAAAATAGCCGATACAATTTCTACAAACCCTACACCCTGAACCCTAAAACCCTAAACCCTCGAGACCAAACAAAAGAAATTGTATGTGGAATCCCTCTGCTTCGCGTTGATATGACGACGAAGTCATGGTGCTGGCCTCTTTGGGGCGCTGACACCTTTTGGACTCGGCCCTAAACTCTAAACCCTAAACCCCAAACCGCAAACACCAAACCCTAAACCCTAAACCCTAAAAAAGGGGCTTCAAGGTGGTGCGTGGGATCCGGAGACCTGTAAACCCCTGTGAGTACACGGACAGCTAGGGCCCGCTATTGCAGTATGTGGAGGAGCAAAAACATTTAAGACTCTATGAGCCCTGAACCCCACGCCCTGGACCTCTGCACCCTTAAGCATCTGACCCTCAAGCCCAATCCCTTGAATCCAAAAAATGTCCCAGACCCTCAGCCCTTGATCTAAACCCTTAACCCTAATCAAGCCCTCAACCCTCTTCCCTAAGCCCTTCCTCACGATTTCCCAAAACCCTAAACCACATACCCTATACCCTTAGCCCTAAACCATATATGCCCTACACCCTATATACCCTAAACCCTGAACCCTACATACCCTAAACCCTAAACCCTAAATGCCCTAAACCCTAACTTTATCTTAGTATATACCCTAAAACCCTATTCACCCTAAACCCTATGTACCCCAACCCCAAACCCAAACCCCAAACCCTAAACCCTAAACCCTAAACCCCAAACCCTAAACCCTAAACCCTATTCACCCTAAACCCGAAACTGCCAGGCGCGAGTTTGTCCACGAGCCGGCCATGGCCCACCGTGGCGCCGTGCGAAGCGCCGAAGCCTCGGGCGGATGTAGGGCCTATACTATGGCCTATACGTGGGCCCCCAATAAACTGCTGCATAAATAGGTAGTGTGTGTATATATGTATGTATACATATATACTTGCATGTATGTATATACATACATATATATATATATACATATATATATATATATACATACCTATATATATATAATCATATATATATATTATGTATTTATTTATTATTTATTTAGAGAGACATACATATATATATATATATATATATATATATATCTACATAGATATATACACACACACATATGTATATATATATATATATATATATGTATATATCTATATATACATATATATATATGTATATAGTGGTAGCATATGTATGTATACGTGTATCCGTATCTGAAATGGTAGTGCGTGTGTAAACTGTATATATATATATATACATTGTGTTAATAAATTTCTATAGATAAATAATGCATGTGTGTATGTATATATATATATATATCATACATATGTGTGTCTACATGAATGATATGTATCCCCCCCCCCCCCCCCCCCTCCCCCACCCCCACCTCCCACCCCCACCCCCCCCCACCCCCACCCCCACCCCCACCCCCACCCCCACCCCCACCCATGATCCACCGTACCTCCCTCTTTTCTGTGATGGCTGTTGCGCAATCATACCTGTTTATGCTTTTGACACACACAAGCACACCCACACCCACACCCACACCCGCACCCACACCCACACTCACACCCACACCCACACCCACACCCACACCCACACCCACACGCGCGCACACACGCACGCGCGGACGCACGCACGCATTTTGCAAACACGCACGCACGCACGCACGAAGAGACACGCGCAGTGAGACACGCACACCCACACAAACACACACCCACACACGCACGCACGCACGCACGCACCCACACCCACACCCACACACCCACACACACACACACACACACACACATATACACACACATATACACACACATATACACACACGCATGCCCACCCGCCCACCCACCCGCCCACCCACCCACCCACCCACGCACGCACGTGCGCGCGCACACGAACACGCACACGCGCACGCGCACGCGCACAGACACAAACACAAACACAAACACAAACACAAGCACAAACACACACACACACAGAGCACAAACACAGTGCACAGACACACAGACACACAGACACACAGACACACAGACACACAGACACACAGACACACAGACACACAGACACACAGACACACAGACACATAGACACACAGACACACAGACACACAGACACACAGACACACAGACACACAGACACACAGACACACAGACACACAGACACACAGGCACACAGGCACACAGACACACAGACACACAGACACACAGACACACAGACACACAGACACACAGACACACAGACACAGAGACACAGAGACACACAGAGACACACAGAGACACACACACAGACACACAGAGACACACACAGACACACACAGGACACACACAGACACACACAGACACACACAGACACACACAGACACACACAGACACACACAGACACACACAGACACACACACAGAGACACACACACACACACACAGAGACACACACACACACAGACACACACACACACACACACACACAGAGACCACACACACACACACAGACAGACACCCACAGACACGCACAGACACGCACAGACACGCACAGACAGACACACACACACACACACACACACACACCCGCACACACACACACACAATCAGTCGCTCACTCCAACAACCCCCCCCCCCCCCCCCCGCAGTTACAGTACTTGTCGTAATTGTTGTTGTTATTGCTTCATTCAGAAGAATTCCGGAACTCTCAGTGAAATCCAGGAGCCTTACGCAAAGCTAGTCAAGTTAGCTCTAAGTACCTTATCAGGTCTGCTCGAGTTCTCTCGATGTGGTACCTTAAGAGTTCTGCCGGCTCGAATGTTCCCAAAGCCGTCGGAAAAAAATGCTTTTTCTCGTGACGGCTCCTCCCTAATCAATTGTTGCATGTATTTACAGTTCATATTTGCGCAGTTGTATCTGCGACTTAAACAAGTAGGTTTTGTATATGCCCTGTAACTTTGTAGGGTTAACTTGTAGGTTTTTGGCTTCGGTGGAGATTGCTCTGACACAGAGAAGGAGAGAGTCGTCTGTTGGTGTGAATAGCTCGGACACGGCAGCCTTGTTGTGGCAGGTTTGCTTCGCCACTGGCGACTCCTGCGACTTCTCTCGCTTGCTGTCCTGTGGCGCAGATGGCAAGGCCCAGTGTTCATGGGTGATAAGCAGGCTTACAGAACAATACGTACTGCAGGGATTTGGATTCCGCCCCCCCCCCCCCCCCCCCCCCCCCCCGCCCCCCCCCAAGCCCCAAGCCCCTGTGACGAATCTCAAACTCCACACTGTCATCCTATGCGGCTTCGTCGAAATTATGACCCTTCTGGCAGGGCGCACGCTCAAGTTGCATTGTGCTCGCAAAGTTGGTTTTCAAGCTGATTGGCTTGCAGCCAATCAGCTGATCGGCTGATTGGTTGATTGGCTGCCGCACGCCTTGCGGCCAAAAAGCCACGCACACGGTCAAATTGAGCGCATCGCGCAATAAAGGGTTGAAGGGAATCAAAAAGGCTGAACCGCCCTTATGATACTCCCCCCTCAAGTTCGCGTTGGGTACCTGCTCAACAAAAGAGATGCCAGTGAATGAGGCCCCCCCCTGTACACCCCAGAATTAGGGCTTTAAACCCGACAAAAAAAACAGTAAAACCCGAGGCCATATTCCTAAACCCTAGACAGGTCCGCGCCTGGGAGCCTGGATCGGGAGCCCCAAAGAAGGCGAAGGCAGCAGGGGGTTGAGTTGAGGGGGGGAGCCTTGGGATTCTTGGTGCAAGTTGGGTTTGTGGCGTGCGGCCCTTCAGGTTCAGGGTTTAGGGTTTAGGATTTAGGGTTTAGGGTTTTAGGGTTTAGGATTGAGGGTTTAGGGTTCGGGGTTTGGGGTTTCGGGTTGAATCGGAAAGCCCTGAAAGGTTAAGGGCCCTCGGCTGGGGGTGGCGAGACCTTCGGACTTAAACCTCTTAGACCTTCGGACTTAAGCCCTATACACTCATAGGGGTATTTCCGACAATAGAGGTAGCCCCTTCTATACCCAAATAGAATAGAATCCCCCTAAAGGGACCCCAGAAAGGGGAACCCCCAATTTCGGAAACTCCGCCTCGTTAGTTTGAATAGGGTTCTGGAAGGCTACTTACAGTATAAGTATACTATACAGGGACCACAAGGGAATACGTTTACTAATCATTCCAACCCCTTTTTACGTCCCTGTGTACTAGAAAGGGACCATAAGGGAATACGATTCGTAATCATTCCGACTCCTTTTTTCTTTACGTCCCTGTGTGCCGACCGAGAATGCCGCTTCGCTTCAGGCGGAGTTGGCCACCCGCAAGATGGAAGCGAGCGGAATGTTGCTCTCGCCAGCGAAGGGCGAGGAGGCAGCGCCGGCACCTCGATTGGTTCAGGGTTCAGGGTTCAGGGTTCAGGGTTCAGGGTTCAGGGTGCTAAGAATTGTTTCTTCTGGTTGGTGCCTAGTAGGGAGCGAGGGAATGAATGATGGGGCCCTATGTATACCCCTTAAGAGATTGTCCAAGGCCCTACTTCCCGCTCCCTACTAAGACAAGCCAGTCTTCAGGGTGACTTTGTGTGACCCATACCATAAAAAGTCGACAATGCCGGTCGGGGGTTCGATGCTTGTTCGGCTTGACCCTGTCCCAAGTCCCAGACATCCCGGACCACCCGTACAGGACCAAAGCCCTGACGACCTAAACCCTAAACCTTAAGTTGCCCTACATACCCCCAAACCCTGTACCTGAATTATCCTAAACCTTAAGTTGCCCTACATACCCCCAAACCCTGTACCTGAATACCCTAAACCTTAAGTTGCCCTACATACCCCCAAACCCTGCACCCTAAACCTTGAATACCCTCAACCTTTCAAGCCTGGAAGCTCCGCGCAGGAGACTTGGAGGCCAGAGATCAACGTGGACTGCAGCACGGAGGACTGCCTGGCGATAGAACTTCCGGTATTCAAAACCCTAAACCCTAAACCGTAAACCCTAAACCCTAAACCCTAAACCCTAAACCCTGAACCCTGAACCCTGAACCCTGAACCCTAAACCCATAAGCAGGACGGTCGGATTCCCCCATACTGGGAAGCGGCATGGGATCTGAAAGGCACCAATTGCCCGCAAGACATAGCTTCACCCGGCTTGAGGCCCAATGTCGCCGTAAACCCTAAACAAAACACCCTCAATGCCCGAAACCCTAAGCCCTTAAACCCGAAACCCCTTAAAACCCCAAAACCAACCCTAGTGGGTTGAAACTCCGACAGCGTTCCTGCGCCCTACCAGGAGCTGGGACAATTATACCCTAGAAGGCCTTAAAAAGGCCCTTTATTTCGGGTTTAGGGTTTAGGGTTTAGGGTTTAGGGTTTAGGGTTTAGGGTTTAGGGCTAGGGATTCTAAGGCCTAGTAGCCCACGCTGGTACCAGGAGCTGGGACTACAAATGGCGGCCCTGGCCCAGCCTCAGGGCATCTGCCTGGTGCCTGAGGAGGTACGCGCGAACAAACCCCCGGCTTCAGGGGGTTTGGGTAGGGTCTAAAGGGGTTTAGGGGTCTTAAGGGGGTTTAGGGGGTTGTAGCAACCTCTACCTTTAGAGATCTTTAGCCTTCCTAGGGTCTATGTGTAGAGGGTTTAAGTTCAGGACTGAAAAGGGTTTACCAGTTGGGACCTTCTTCCCTAGCACACGCAGTCCTTCAGCTCGAAACCATAGATACTTTTCTGCGCCCTCGCAACCCCTCAAGCAATCGACAGGAGCTGATCGCTGTCTACTGTGCCCGCTCGGGACGCTGCCTTTGTCGGCTTGCGGCGCACCGCGGCGGTCTCACAGGCCGGGCGGGGCGGTTTAGGAGGCATTGGGGTTCCGTTCGCCAACTTCACTTTACCGCCCCCCCCCCCCCCCCCCCCCCCGGCTGTGTATCAGAGCAGAGCCATCCCCGAGTCTTAGCAGGTTTAGGGGGTTTCGGCTTACGTGAAGGCTCATGGATGGCCCCAAGTAAGCCTGTGCCCTTGGGTTTAGGGTTTAGGGTTTAGGGTTTGGGGTTTGGGGTTTGGGGTTTGGGGTTTGGGGTTTGGGGTTTGGGGTTTGGGGTTTGGGGTTTACTAACACCCCAAAACCCCCTGTGCCCAGTCCAGCAAGAACGGGAAACCAACGTTGAACCCACAACTTCCGAAGCCCTCGATCAACCTAACAGCCCCCAAACCTCCTGGGTTTAGGGTTTACGGTTTAGGGTTTAGGGTTTAGGGTATAGGGTTTGGGGTCCTCCTCCATAGAGTCCTGAACCCCTAAGTTAAGCCATCAAATCACAGAGCTCGCAAACCCCAAACCACACCCAGCCCCCTTAAAGCACAATTTGCTTCAGCACCGCCCAGCAAATAAAGAATCATAATCCCTGTATTGCCCTTACAGGGAAGAATGTGCTTCTTGCTATTTGTTTACTTATTATATATATATATATATATATATATATATATTTTTTTTTTTTTTTTTTTGGGGGGGGGGGGGTGGTAAGGGTACTCAAAAAGATAGTAGTAGACTTTTTCCACCTTTATAATCCTAAAGCCTCCTCAACCCCCGGCTGGGAGCCTTGAGTTCGAGGCCTAGAGGCTTTACACCCGCACCGCCGGGAGCTGCTATCTGCAGGCGGATTGGGAGTTGGAAGGTGCAGGTGATGGGCCCTAAGGTTTGTGAATTTTAAGGGCCTGCCTAGGGCCTAGAGAGGCTTCTGCCTGAATCATCGACTTGTTTGCGGGCTGAAAGATCAAGATGCCAGGAACACGCACTAACTACCCGGCGGGGCCTGATTCCCTTGTTTGGAGGTAGATTTCCTTGCAGACCCCGCCAATCAAGCAAAGAAGGTATCTTTTGCATTGCCAGGGTTAATGGGGCACGAGTTGTAGACTTGAGGAGCAGGCACTGCTCGTAAGGTTTTTCGGGGCGAGTGCGAAGGTAGAAGGGTTTTCTTTGATTTGCCAGTTCGCCCATCCAGAAGGCTGCAAGGCCCTGAAACCTTGAAAGCCCCGAAGCACTGCCCTTCAGCCCCAAACCTCAGCATCCTCAGAAGCCACAAAACTCAACATGAACCACTTGGGTCAGAAATCCACTGCCTTGCAAGTCTTGGGCAGGCAAGGATGGCTTGCTCTTGTGCTGGCGCACTGGGCGTTTGGAATCAGGCCTGCCCCCTGTTGATTTGTGTGCTTGACCACCAGCGCATGCATCCATGGACGAGGCGAAGTCATCTCGGTGGATGACTAGTGGCAGTCCGGCGCCTAAGCGCCGAACCCTCGAGTTGCCCAGCAGATGGGGAATTCCCCGCGTTTCACCAACCAGTGGGCTTCGCCTCGCTCATGCTTGCACCAGATTCCGTTTCTGGGGTTGAGGGTTTCTCAGGCTTTCCCAACCTAGGTAGGCTCTTGGGATATTTTCTTTTTTCTCTTATTGGGTTTAAGAGGATCATATTCAGGTTTTTTTTTCAGGGGGTTTTAAGGGCCATCGTAGCAACAGATCTCGTGCATCTGTGACGGTCTCCTGCCCATGTACAGTGGAGCCAAGAAAAATGTGAGATGAGGATCCGAATATGGGAAGATTTGGGGATGCATCATTGAGAATTAGGTCCGGATTGTGTTGCTTTGTCGCGGTTGCAAGTTGCAATTCATGTTTGTTCAAATAGTTGAGAAGCCGAGTTGAAATCAAAAAGACCAAACTGCCGTGGGCCAGGAATAGAAAATGGGCAGGGCGGGGCAAGATTGGATAAGGGAGGGGGGGAATGATATACGAATGGGGTTGGGGGGAGGATAAAGTCCCGCCCAAATCTTCACCTTTGACATTTTTTCATTATTATTTATCATTCAAAATATTTCGTTCTGGATGAATTAATCATTCTTTCAAATAATTTCGGTTATAAGGATATCTAAGGAAATTGGATCGATTATTAGACATGATTATATCTTTTATTCGCGAGCTCGGTTTCATTAAATTATCGATTAATTTCGTATCTCCCTCAACTATAGGATAGATATTCTCTCGGGGGATCTATAAAATATCATAAATTTTTGATAGATTATAATCCCTTAATGATGTTTTGTTTTCATGTATCCTCAGAAGTAGGGAGGATGTTGATCTTATATTCGGAAATTTTGAGGGCCTTTGGGAATCTATATTCTTCTTGATAATTTAATAGATATAGGAGTAAATATCTCTCTCAATGAAGATTTCGTAGTGAATAGGTGTTTTTGGAGTACAATTTTCTTGCGCCGAAGCGAGGCAGGAATGTTGCATATATTCTTTTGGCAATCCCAGGTGATTTGCTTATTTTTCGATGAGATCATAGAATACAATTTTCCTAGCCATGACCATCGTGAAAAAATTGATCACTAAATATTTTCTATCATTTATCCCACTTGCCCCTCTTGCCCACTTGGATGGGAAATGACATTGCCCCATTTGCTCGATTTGCCTTGTGTGGGGTTGCTAAATGATTTCTGTCCCGCTTGGGGGCAAACAAGATAGGACAAAATGGGCAAGTGGGACAAATGGGATGAATGGGATATATGGGGCAAATGATCCTATCCCCCATCTTTCCCCCATTTCCCTCCCCTAACCCTTACTCCCTCGGCTCCCACTTTACCACCCACCCTCATCCAAATTGGCATCAACTCGGATTATAGTCATGGAAAAAATCAGGTTGTATTTGAGGCAGACTTTTGAATGGATAATATGATAATGAATGGATCAGATATATCGAGATCAATCATAAATGGATCTCAAATCGGATTATATTTGAGGCAAAATTCCTATTCCTATCAGATGGTCATGGAAGGGAGGATCAAAAAAACTCATTTCAAATTAATTGAATTTGATTTTTCATTCGAATGAAATCAATCATAAATGGATCTCAAACCGGACCATATTTGAGGCAGATTTGTGTTCCTATCGGATGATGATGGGGAATATGGATCATCCATCAATTCCCCTCAAATCAGATTGAATTTGAATTTATTTTCCTTTCCGTGCGAGAAAAATATATCGTTATCATAAGAAGATGGACAAATGATAATTGGATCAATCAGAGGGAAATCCTCTGGTTGAATAGAAATTGAAATCATCTCTCTCTGTAAGCAATAGAAAGAATTATTTATATCCAATTCTGTTGCAGATGAATAATATGGAGACTTATAGACGATGAGGAATCAAGAATAGGATTGAATCGAACAATTGTTGAGATTCCTCTATCTTTGGAATCGAAATAGGACGATATTATAGATCAGATATGGGAAAAGGAAAATTGGTGGTTCCATCTTCAATCATAAATCTATTTCAAAGATAAGTAGGATTGAGATAGATTTATGATTGGGGAGGATATAGGATAAATTGGGTCCGACAAGGACCCATGGCATAGCTAGATTCCAATCAGAAATCTATCTCAAGAATTACCCGGATTGAGGTAGATTTGATTCAAAAATATATATTTCATACAAAACGAATATATATCCTCCTTGATTTTTTGTAGGTTTGGTAAATAGGCAAATTCTTCTCGAATAATTATATAGATATTAGTATTGGTGATATTATATTTGGGATATTTAAAGATGATAGAAAATTCGATAGATTTCGTTTCATTCTTCAAGATATTATTCTCGATGATGAATATTACGATAAGGAAAAATTCGGTGGAATATAAATATCTGAGGTTATTCGATATTTCTCGATTCTCTATTCAATATTAATATTCTGTTTTATTGAATTATAATCGTATCTGGATGAATTATATTTATACGAGAATTTTATATTCCCTATATTCTATTGAATATTAAGGATTTCATTGAAATTATCATAAAATTAGAGGGGACCCATCG